ATTGTTTCTTTAACGTGCTGGTATCGCAAAAATTTCTTTCATGTCTGATTATGTAGTACAATTTGTCTTCCATAATCATTGAAAGACTTGGTAGTTAAAGATTTTGAAAACAAACAATATAAACGTAGGAATTTTTCTAATCCTTGATACGTCTCTCCTAATTTCCCGACTTATGAAGAGATTGTTTATAATCAAGCTAGCTAATGGTTCTGCTCTCGAGAACTCAAGGGCTCCTGCAACTTGACTATTCATTCTTGCTACCCAGTGAAAATTCACAGACGCGGCAGCTCCTGATTTGAATTACCAGAAGCTGGGGGGCGACTCTGAATTTTGTTACCCAGTGAAAATTCACAGACGCGGCAGCTTCTGATTTGGACTACCAGAAGCTGGGGCGACTCTAAATTTTGTTAGGATCCCAGTGAAAATTTACAGACGCGGCAGCTTCTGATTTGGACTACCAGAAGCTGGGGCGACTCTAAATTTTGTTAGGATACATTTTCAAGCCGTAGGAATGCTGCACTCTCCGTTCAATATAATCTATTCACTAACTGAACGTGGTCCATCATTCTTATCGCACCAGCGCAACGGATAAGCGTTATGGTGCCCTATTAACGAGTGGGATACGGCATTGTTATCTCAAGTAGGGAATTAGAACTAGAAATAAGAAGTAAAGCTTGGTATTTTCCGGTATACGCTTACGCACTAGAAGCAAAGCTTGGACTTTCTTAAATACTGTGTTGTTGGTTTGATTAAAAAAATGTATTTCAAGATACTGAATGAATTATGATGCAGTTAATACATACAGCAGTTAATACGCAGTTAATACGGCATACATGCTCCATGTATGTCGATGACACAAAAGTTTATGATACAGTTAAGGATGCGTCAAATAAAATGCAACTGCAAAATGATCTTGATAGTTTAGTTGACTGGGCTGATGCGTGGCAGCTGCGTTTCAATGCTGACAAGTGTAAAGTACTTCACCTCGGCAAGAACAATGAACAGCAAGCTTACAGCTGAGGTTCAACTTATCCACGCGACAACATTTCTTCTCGCTTCGAGTCACTGACATGTGGAACAGCCTCCCTGAAGATATTGTTGACGCTCCGAGTATGAACGCGTTCAAGAACAGACTAGACAAGGCCATGCATGAGCATATGTTCAGTCTTAAAATGCCTCGTAGTGGCATTTTACAACTGATACGGAACACCCTACGGAACAACTGATATCTAGAAGCGATTTTAAATCTACCGTCCGTAAGGCCAGTCTAGTCAAGAAAAGTACAAGAATCGGCTACAGGCCAATCCAGGCCTATTTATTTAATGCCGAAGATACTATACTTAAGCATATCGCCGAGCGCATTTAGTTAACCGCCTTGATGCTCATTGCACCGAGCCTCATGATGTTCGGAGTTCCCTGAACGCTGTTGTGTTTGGTTGCGGAATTTGGGACATAGTACTCGCAACGTCTCCTGATAGGTTGTATTCGACACTGAATACTGAGTAAAGTAACTTTCAACTGTGCTTCGAATTTATGTTGATGCACAACTTACAATCACTAAATGAATGTGAACCTGATCACTTGTAGCTTGTAAAATTTTTATCAATTTATTTAATTAAATATTTCCACAAGTAATATATTTTTCGTGCTGCCAGGTAAATATTTGTGATCGTATCTGGAGAAAGTGAAGCAATATTTTTTAGCAATAATTTAATACCGAGTGCTGAAGCCAAGACGAATAACTCATCAAGATGGTGCAACAGGTGAGATTTTTGTTACATTTTTTGCGTTTTTAGGCTCATCTATGATGACTTGTTACGTCATGAAAGAGGTAAGCTGTAATGCCCATTGCCCATAATAACACATCTATTACAAATTTTTCTGTAGCTTCTTTGATTGAGACCTGTACTCTTATGACAATAATTTTCTGAATACGAATGTAAAGGATTCATACTTACGCTCGCTTTCAAACAGAGATGTCCGGTAACGCGGTTAACGCTTTTCAAATGATCGTTTCAACGATCCCTGCAATTGGAAATCTAATTTTATAGCCAATATTACTGCGATAGTTGCTTTTTTTGTGATCGAACGTTCCCACTGAAACATTTTTTGCAATACTATGGTGCGTCGCAATTAGCATGATTCGGTAGACCAGAGAGCTGAACAAAACAAGCTAGTGCATGTATCACTCAGCTGGCTCATTATCTTCTTGAATTTGTATACCATGTACCTTAAAATATCTTGAAAAGTACGATGTGTTCCCCGATTAAGCATTTCAGTAGTCTTTTAATAATATCAATTACTTAATCACTAGAGGACATTATTTTACAGCTCATTCAGCCATGTTTCCTACACGTAAATATGTGGCAATGTGCACAGCAATCTACACCGATAACACCTATGGGATCGCTGATGAGATTACCGATTATCTTATCACGATAGTATTGTTCCAAGCTCCACGTTCTAGTAAAGCTCTTATGCTGGTACTACCAGTTTCTTATGAATCAGATTACTTTTGTTGAAAATTAAATTGATATGTTGATTAGCGAGACTTTGTTCACAGTTGTGCTAGAGAATTGAAATCCTGGATTGATAATTGAATCTTATTCGAAAGTTGAGTGACGTGTAATTTTTAGCTGGCTGATATGTACTTACTATAATTGGCGTTGTCTATATCAATTGATACATTTGCGTTTGTCGTATGTTTAATGTTCTAAAAAGTTGAACGTGCTGGTTTTAAAACCAATAACTTAGTTCAAAATCGACCTTCAAATAAGCCCAGGAATTGACCGGGTCCATCTGATGTGTTCTCAAATAATATAATATTTAATAGTATAATATTTTTCCAAAATAAAAGTTAGTTTCCGCACACTCTCATGATCGTCTCTAAATATGTACGCGAACATTAGATCTCACGCACACGGAGCAGGTGTGCGTGTGTCTGGTGCACAGCAGCTGCAGCGCCGGAAATGATTCGACGCCTCAGCGGCCGCTGCTTGCCGTTGATTCTCATCTTCTGTCGTCCATTCTTATCCCGCAACATTCAACACCGTCCATTCTTATCCCGCAACATTCAACACCGTCCATTCTTATCCCGCAACATTCAACATATTGAGCCTCGCCTTCTGTCGTCCATTCTTATCCCGCAACATTCAACATATTGAGCTTCGCATTCTTATAGCGCTTTTGATAACATTGCGTTCATGTTTGAACCATCAGTATTTTTTAACGACTCTGATCGTACATTCAATGAGGCACAAATCTCATGAATTCCAGCTTTACAAATGCTAATGCCTGCAGTCACAATCCACTTAATCTTACAGTCCGATTTGACTCAGCTTCCCCAGCCCAAAAAATGATTTGCAATGACGGTAATCACGGACTAGCTTAGAAATGCACTATACTCGCGTATTGTCAACCTAGAAATGCTAATGCATTGCGAACGTTTCGAGGTCATCCAATCTACTATGTTGGAAGTATTTGCTGTATGTTCAGTGTAGTATCGTATCCTGTGTTTATTGTACGTGTCTCGTGTTTGCTGTGTTGTGTTTTGGATTTACTGCAGCGCTTGCACAATAGTGCTTTGAGGTCTTGGTCAATTCAAAACAAGAGGTATTGTTCTCTTGCAATTGTTCAAGTCTAGGTTTGTGAGTGTATGACATGGAGCTGGTATTATCAGACGTAATGCTAACCTTTGAGCCATTCATAACTTGGGAAGTTTCTGGGGCTGCAAATTACTGCATCAAATAATTTACAATATTCCTGAAGTCAACTAAATATCTAAACGCGAATAGCAAGGAATTAATATTTTGCTAATTATCGTAGGTATATGCTTATGATTATCTGCGAAAAGTACAAACAGTCAAAAGATAATAAAAATATTATTTTATTTTATATATTTATATTTTTATTTCTTTGCAATTGAATGGTAGTTGAACCTATTTTTTATGCGACCGAACGCGGCGGTTCCTAGAAAAAGCGCGGGAAATTTACTCCTGCAAGGTCATGGTGGTGGTGATGCTTGAGTCCTGCTTGGTGGTGGTGGTCCGGTGCCCGGGTGTTGGAAAGACTCGTGATGCAGTAGGATGTGGTGATGTCATTCCTCGTAGCGACATGCATGCATGACTCGTTCTATGCGTCACAAACGCTCACTTCATTCAAACCTCGGCCCTATTGATGTACCGCTGCGGCTTGGTTTCTTATGCCTCACCGACGCTAATTCTAATATAAACATCAGAATTCTCGAACGTTGATCGATGCGCACATTTTGAAGGAGGACAAGAATTTGTTTTTATTACTCGTGGCTTTTGGATGTGATGAAATATAGGAGTGTATAATTGTCTATGATTTATAAACGATTTTTTAAATAATCTAATCTTTTAATCCATGCTCTCAAAAGCTTGACAAGTGCATACATCATGATATCTAGTGAAATAATTTTATTCGTTCATGACAGAACAATAGTAAATTTGCATTGATAATGTCTTCACTTTATTTTCCTATACGGACTATGGCGTCCCCATATGCAGGAGACGAGGCCAATCTTATCCACTTGTGAGGTTAGCCTTACAATATCCTAACGGAAAATGTCGTCCTCGCAGCGAGGTTTTTCAGTCATTATGCTCGTACAGAGCGTGTGGCCGCACTTCAATAATGAATGAATTTATTTGAATGCGGCCATATTTATTGCACGCCTGAATTTATTTCACTTGCATGCATGACTCCTTTACAGCTATCAGGATGGCATGTGTGATGCATTTTCATTGCAAATTATTACCTACCTACGTATATTATCATAAAACTTTTCTGGTTCATGTTCGTAGCTCAGCACTGGGCGGGGAAACGGAATCCGCGATGACAAGCACTATTTTCTTCACTTTTTCTCACAGCTTTAGTAAAATAATCGTAGTAATCAAAAGTTAATTGATAATTTCTCGCTGTTACAGTATTAAAATAATCTCAGTAATAAAAAGTTAATGAATAATTTGTCGCTGTTACAGTTGAATGTGCGCGTCACGACCATGGACGCGGAGCTGGAGTTCGCGATCCAGCCCAACACGACGGGCAAGCAGCTCTTCGACCAGGTCGTCAAAACCATCGGACTTCGAGAAATCTGGTTCTTTGGACTCCAGTACGTCGACAGCAAAGGCTTCTCTACCTGGCTCAAACTGAACAAAAAAGTAAGAACCGTACATGTATTATTAAAATATTCCCGATATAAGCTCTGTTACAATGGTTTACCTAGCTAGAGTTAACAGAAAGTTCGAACCGTCAGTGCATTTATCCCACGGTTAATTTTAAACCCATGTATATTGTTGGATCGAAAATGACAGAAACGAGAACCATATCCATGACAGAGAATTGAGGACAAATGAGAACCACACTTATCAAGTTATCAGCCAGTTTTAAACAGAGACCCTTGCACCTCTGGATCAAAATTGACACGCTATAACTGTTCTTTTGGCTATTGATACGAATTGATTATTTTGCCCTGTCAGTACTACTTTGTCATGTTATAATGACGTAACCAACTTTGGAGGAGATCCGGTCTTTTAGAATTGATAATAGTAATCTTGTGTTATCAAAATTTGTTATCAATTGATAATGATTATAGTGTCAATGTTCATAAAATCCGGCGATAAAGCCTGCACGCTGAGGACGCGTGTGTATACCGTGCCTAAGCATACTGATAACCCCGATTTATTCGCATTGCTTATGTTCAGGCTGAGACACTGACTATGTTTTTTCAACATTCTGGGCGTCTGAAACAATGCGTTGCTTCCTAACTCGCACGTCAGCGTTTTAAATTCGTGTCAATGAATTAAAAAGTATCGATTTTACTCTTGAAGATTTTGTGTATCGTATATTTTCTAATGTAGGTCACATTGCTTAGATTGTTAACTCAGGATTTTTAATTATTACCTACAAATATTGATGAGACAAAGTAGTAAGAAGAATTAGCTATGATAATAAATATATTTTTTAGACGACAGCATCGAAATAATTGTTATGTGGATAGACTTGTGAAGTAGAGAATGTTATGTAGGAGGTAGGAGTTTCGTGACAAATGTTGTTGCGACGAATATGTGAAGCAGAGTGAAGTATTTGAAATAAATGTTAGTTGGATGTGCGAAGCATAAAATGAATGTAGGAGTTTTTTATGAATGATTTTAACATACCACTTCCTGGTACAAAGTATAATTCAGGCAAGAGTGTCTTGTCGCGATGTACAAGATACGAAATAAATGTTTTATTTTCTACTCTGACGCAGTTGGATTAAGTGTTATATTGCTCTCTAATATTATAGTGTTCGGATCACCCGTTATCTTATCGCGTTCCACGGCGTTCCTTAATCTTGACAGCGTTCTGACAACGATATTTATTGCTCTTATTTGATGAATGATTGGTCCCACTCGACTACATCCTTGACTCGTTATTATTATACTTTGTAATATTAGTGAGTATTTATTACCTATACTTTGTTATGATTGATGCGACTAATATACCTACATTGGGTTTAAAAATGTCAACTGGTAATGATGTTTTAAATTGAAATTTCCTGCTATTAATCCTATCTATATTCGGATTTGCCTCGTCCATCCAGTTTCCATTTATGGTATCATAAATTTTTCGTTCTATGACCATCTTTTTACGTTTATCAATCATTGCCACGTGCGGTGGATGCGCTACTAAGCGCCATTGAGAAGACAATATTTATGTATACTGGAATTTGTTTGATGGTAGATATTGTGTTGTATATTTTTACCATTATCATCGAATGCGATCTTGTTGGAAGTTACCTTTGGTTTATTTATTCACCAGTATATAAGTGGAATCCTCATAGATATAAATGCACTGGATATGACCTAATCTTGAGTGTGTATCCACAGGTGCAGTCACAAGATGTCAAAAAAGAGACTCCGCTACAGTTCAAATTCCGTGCCAAATTCTTCCCTGAAGACGTTGCCGAGGAGATCATCCAAGACATCACTCTGGTTAGTGACACCAGCAGCCATCTGCTCTTCTTTTACCTGCAGAAACTTCTTTGACTTCAATATCATTTCGTCGACGTTTTTGTTTCGTATCATTTTCATTTAACTCTTCCCTCTGTATTCAAACTCTTTTGACATTCCTTTCCTGTATTGTTAATGCCCTTAGTTCGACTCGCAGTTAACATTAAATATTACTCCGTTCTTGGTTCACGAATCTTTTTGAACTCGTATTGTTAAATTTATTCATTTCGTAGTGCCTGTTCTCCAGCTTTGAATATTTATATCTTTCGTAGTGCCTGTACTCGAGCTTTTCACTCCACTGACTCGGTTTATTTATACCACAGCGTCTGTTTTACCTGCAAGTGAAGAACGCAATCCTGAGCGATGAGATCTACTGTCCCCCCGAGACGTCGGTGCTGCTCGCGTCCTACGCCGTGCAGGCCAAGTATCTTGACTACAATGAAGAGCAACACACGCCTGGCTTCCTGGCCCAGGTAACGAGCCTAAGTCTACGCGTCTACACTAGTTAGTTAGCGCATTTTCTCATTTATGGAAAAAAGGCGCCATTGTGCTCGTCATGTCCGTCCGTCCGTCTGTCTGTCTGTCCGTCCGGCGGTGACCACGTTTTCGTCGACGAGAAAATGCGAAATTTTCGAGAAATTTTTTATTAACATTGAACTGGTGCTTTCTGCTGGCATAAGGAGGACTTATGATAGGAGCGACTGGACCTTTGCTAGATTTGGGAGGACTTTTGCTAGATTTTGGGAGAACTTGCTAGATTTGGCAGGACTTTGACCATATTTTGCTAGCTTTGGCAGGACTTTTGGTAGATTTTGGCGGGACTCTTGCTAGCTTTTTGAGGACTTCGACTAGAATTTAAAGTCTTCCACAAACTAACGTTGTGTGGCCCTGGCTAATAAGATGACTTTAAAAGGCATTGTGGAGGTTTTTGCCAGCATTAAAATCACTCCTCAAAATAAAATAGAATTAAAACGTGGATATTGACCCCTCAGCCACAATACCTACTATGTCGTCAAGTATTATGAAAAGCAGCGATACATTGTTGTAGCTGTGTTATATTGTTAGGATGGCGGAAGTACGATGTTCAGTATACTGTTCTGGCTTGCGAGTTAATTGTGTTAAAATGCTTTGAAACTAAACCTGTCATGTGTAACTTAGATGTTAATTGTTTTTTGACATACCTATATACGGAATTAAATTTTGTTTTTCACTTGCGAACGGAAACTTTAATTTATCAACGTTTGACAGGACCGCCTTTTGCCACAACGTGTCATGGACCAACACAAACTAGACCGCAAGCAGTGGGAGGAACGCATCACCACGTGGTCAGTGCAGTTAACACTAATTATACTAATTAGTTATATAATTAGTTATATATATATACACCCAATCATATAATTATTATTAGCAGATTAGCTCGGAGTTTTCGGGGATTGATAACCAAACCCAATCCCGTTTTAGCGCATTTTCTCATTTATGGAAAAAAAGGCGCTATTGAGCTCGTCATGTCCGTCCGTCCGCGACCACGTTTTCGTCGACGAGAAAATACGCTCTCTGTCACTCACTGCAATGAGTACTGAGTTATATTTTTTATATATTCACAGTGCCGCTTTCATACATACGAACGCACCCGCTAACTTCCACAAATATAAGTATGAACAAAATTTTAATTATGACTTCTTTATCCACATATTTTCTATATTTATATTCATTTTGTGTAGGTTCTCCATTTTCCGCTCTGATGACCAATGGCTCAAAGCGGCTTGCATGATTGTCCAAAAATTCATTTACTTTTTTCCTTTATCGACGCAAAACAGCAAAAAATAATACGTAAAATTAGTGTCGTCTTGTTCTTCTCGAATTTTTTCCATTAATCAATCAATATCGAGTATGTATAGGTACCACCTATGACTGTTGTTCACCAGGAGTCATGACAGAGCAGGAACCAAGTCACTAATATTGAGCTGTCATCACAACTAATTGTGGTAATAGCTCCTCTATCGCAGCTATTATTAATATCTGATGTTTGAACAATTTAATAATGAAGGTTATCAGAACCTGTATTGTAGTAGACACTCATTATCAGAACCAGTATTGTAGTAGACACTCATTATCAGAACCTGTATTGTAGTAGACACTCATTAGACACGCAGCGTGAAGACACCATGATGGAGTTGCAGCTATCATTAAGTCTCTGTTGACCAATTTAATAATAAATAGATTATCTGAACCAGTATTGTTCTGGACATTCATTTTCAGGTACCACGAGCACAAAGGCATGCAGCGTGAGGACGCCATGATGGAGTACCTTAAGCTGGGTCAGGACCTCGAGATGTACGGCGTTAATTACTTCGACATCAAGAACAAGAAGGGCACCGAGCTCTGGCTTGGTGTTGATGCCCTCGGCCTCAACATCTACGAGAAAGACGATCAGTCAGTGATTGATTTATTATTTGCTTTAGAAGTGACTTTTTAATTTACTTAAAATTATTATTGGGCTTATCTTCAGCATTAGCTACGTGCTGGCTTTATAATTTGCTTGCAAACTATTTTGAGGTGAAATAGTATTGTGTGCCACTAAACCTTAAAAATTCAACTTGCTATCTAATTGTATGTTTACAAGTTTGTACAAGTCAAACGAGAAAATTTACGTCTTGAAATAAATAAGATGAGGCTACGGTACTATTATGAAAATTTTAAGACTCACCAGTTTCTGTGTTTCATTTTTGATAGAATTGATAAATTATATGCAATCAGTCATACTATGAAGGGCAATTTCCTAAAGTTGGGGTCCCTGCAGTTATCGTAACAGCAATTAATGCCATGTATGAAAATAGCATCGATAATAATAAGTATAATTTTCATTACTTTACAGGCTGACCCCTAAGATCGGCTTTCCGTGGTCGGAGATCCGGAACATTTCGTTCAATGACCGCAAGTTCGTGATCAAACCAATTGACAAGAAGGCGCCGGACTTTGTGTTCTTCGCGCCACGACTGCGCATCAACAAGCGCATCCTGGCGCTGTGCATGGGCAACCACGAGCTCTACATGCGGCGCAGGAAGGCAGATACTATTGAGGTGCAGCAGATGAAGGCACAGGCACGCGAGGAGAAGCTTGCTAAGCAACAAGAAAGGTATGGACTAGAATGTAAGACGATGCGTTGTTTAAAACATTCACTCCATTTGCTTTAAATATTATTTCATTTTTTTGTACTATTTTGAATCAGGGTTGCCAGACGATCTTTTTTACGGACAAATTCCGCGATTTACTTTTTTCCGCTTGTGTTGGCCAGCTTAAATCTTTAGTTATAGGCCATTTTTTGGTATTTTTTGTTTGTGGACGTGGCCGTTTTTAAGGCCATCTTGCAACTTTGAATTATGTTGCACTACGTCCTGGATAAAAACACTTCGTGTTACTGTACCACTTTGGAGTCAAAGTGTTAACGGATTATTTTTAATGTTAGTTTTTCTAGCGGTGGTATAGTCATGGAGATTTAATTCATCTAACCTCAATAAGAAACAGACAAAAAGTCAAATACGTTTTTGAAAACTAATACGGAAGTGGAGCTTTTCAGGTTTCATACCACGTTCTTTGTAATTACATATGCAATGTTCTTTTTATCATAACCATGAATGGCCGTATTGCGTATTTTTTGTCAGTGAAGGCGTCTCTAGCAATAAAACCTCACAATATTACTTTAAAATAATTATAATTATCAATAATAACTATGATTAACTGTTATCAGAGAGAAGCTTGCGCGTGAGGTGGCGCTACGGCAGCACGCAGAGCGTAAACAGAAGGAGTATGAAGAGCAACTGAAGCACATGTCTGAGGAGATGGCCGAGCGACAGCGTGAGCTGCTCGAGGCCCAAGAAACTATCAGGAAACTTGAGGAACAGCTTCGCCAACTCCAGGCTGCCAAGGACGAGCTCGAGAAGCAGCAAAACGAACTTCAGGTGAGCCTGCAATGCTACTTTTTAGCGCATTTTCTCATTTATAGAAAGAAGGCGATATTGTGCTCGTCATGTCCATCTGTCTGTTCGTCTGTCTGTCCGTGACTTCATGTTTTTGTCAACGAGAAAATGTGCTCTCTGTCACTCACTGCAGTGAGTACTGAGTTATATTTTTTAGAATTACACGCAGCTGCTAAAATGTAGGGAATCTAGGAAAATTAATTCACTAATGTCTTACATGATTGTATGGCTTAGTTTTACACATCTATATGGTTGCTAAATCTTCCGTTTACAACAATTATTCTGTTATTTTTGATAGTTATTATCATTTTATAAATATTTCTGATTTCAAATGTGTCTTGACGTCGAATTTCTTTAATATTCAGTTACCGAAACTCACTGGTTTGCCCGCATTCCTTATACCTACTTCTCGCTGTCTTGAACGTACGAGTTGACCTGATGACTTCCCAACAAAATTCGGGGACAGCCTAGGGTTCGGCCGAATAGTTGTTACACTCGGCGCAGAGTCATTCTGGGTCATCCGATCGAAATCGGTTTCTGGTCAGAATCTCCTTTCCTACTTAATAGTCGCCTCAGAGTAAGAAGAGTAGGCTCAGCCGAGTCATACCGAGCTAGCAAGCTGCCCAGAAGCTGCCCTTCGAACCCCGAGCCGAAGCGGACATAGAGAAGCTGATTTACAGCGGCTCGATTCCTAGGCGGTTCCTAGTTTAGAGTCGCCAGTCGCCACCAACTCAAAATTTTTATATGGTTATTAATCGTTGATTTATTGATTGCAGGAGATGATGATTCGGCTGGAGCAGAGCAAGGAAATGGAAGCTGCTGAGAAGCTGAAGCTTGAGGAGGAGATCCGAGCTAAGCAAGAGGAGGTTCTCAAGATCCAAGAAGCTGTCAACCTCAAGGATGAGGAGACTCGTCGTCTTCAGGTAAATACTGTAATATTGTGGACATTACTGCTGGCTGACTCTATTAGTTATTGGCGCTAATATTAACTATTGGCTCTCTAATCCTCATTGCTGCTAATTAGGGTTAACATTACGAGCTTAGTATTGAAGTAGCTCATATAATTCTTGATTACAAATACAAATTATCTATTAGTATATGAATAAATTCCAGAAGGGAAAATTTTGATTTATCATTGAAGTTTAGTGTCAATTTTAACATTTAATGAGTGCTTTTGATGTTTGAATTATTTTGGAATTCTGGTCGAATATCTCGGAATTAGGAATTCATTTAAGGATAACAATACGAATTTATTCAATTAAATGATTGAAAATAAATCTTTTGACTGAGATATGTGTGACTCTGTATTCTTACAATTGTTTTAAAGCAAGCAAGAAATTTATCGTGAGGAGTATTTTGTGGTAGAAGTTATCTGTGTTGTGCTTACCACCTATAACTTTATCATTTCTTATTATTTTTGCAGTTATTCTTATATCTTATATTCATTATATCTGCTTCCTTTTCTTTCTTTTATCCATTTGATTTTAATTTGCATATAAATTGGCGTACCAAACTTGGGCGTATTTCAACTCATTTCTCTGTACCTGAACTGAACTATCTTCTCGGAAGATTCTGGTCGTCGGGACGTTTTCGTTTACAAGATAATTGCTTGTCCATTTTGGTTGTTGATGAATTCTTATCCTGAACCTTTCCGTTCTTCTATTATTCTTTTTCACTGTAGAATTTGGTGAAAAGAACCATTCACTTGGTCGTATGTACTTTCTTAGAAATCTGTGTGTTGGCAATTTCTCACAATCTGATGTAATTAGATTTAGTCACTTTTCTAAATGTATTCTGATTTTCTTGCCTATGTGTCCCCAAAAGCCTTTCTCGAATGTATGATATTGCCATCGGTCTTTAATTCCACTTGTTATTATATCATGAAGCCTGTTTTTAGAGCATTTTCTCATTTATGGAAAACAGGCGCTATTTTGCTCTTCATGTCCGTCCGTCTGTGTGTCATGTTCGTCCGTCTAACATGACCGTCCGTCTATTGTGCTCGTCTGTCCGTGACTTCACGTTTTCGTTGATTTTGAGAAAATGCGCTGTCACTCACTGCAGTGAGTACTGAGTTATATTTTTTTCTTCATGACTTGCCCATTTAGGCAGAACAGAGGAGGCTGAGTGAAGCACGACACAGGGTCGGTGTGGGCACTCAGGTATTTTGTGCTCTCCTCATTTCCTCAACCTGAGTGCTCACGTCAGTTCCAATTTGTAAACACCTTTACACCATCCTTGTTATAGTCGTACATAAACCAGATTAGCGGACTTGAATTTCCTTCACGTCGCATATTCTATGAAGTATCGGCCTGCATGGTTCCTCGTCTGTTGTTGAAAATATATTTTTCAAAGTAAAACAATACTGTAACGAACTAACGCATTTAAAGAGCAAACTTATGTGTTTTTGATAGATTCTGCACCGGATTTGAAAACTTTACCTATTATTTTTGGCTTGACGTGTGATGTTTAATTTCTAAAATCTTTCGGATTAGTTAAGTTTAATAATGAAATTGATATATTTTGTGATGAAATTTCCTTCGCCATTGCGTTTTATGGCGATTTCTGCGTGACCTCAGACGATCCTAACTTGTAAACGTTAACTGTGTAGTGAGCATTTGTAATATAATACGTGTTATAATTCGTTATAATTTAGTAATTTAAGCAAGTGCTGTGCTCTGCAAAACTAACAATATGAGCTTTTGAACTTGATTTTTTTTAGTTTAATGGGAAACTGTTACAGTTACTCGTTTTGAGTGATTTTATTTCTGGTTTAAATAATACGCTTTGCAGTCGAATGGTTCTTTCTAATTCTCGAGCCGTGCTACTGACAGGTCTGTCACTTCTTGAATTTTTTACAAGACTTCCTGTGATGTACCGTACACAATCGTATGAGCTCTCAGAACTTTGTGCTTTGATTTAATTATTGTTCAAAGTTATCTTGGGTCAGTAAACTACTATACTTTTATTACTCATCTTCTTCGAACACCATGAATTTTTTTCAAATATGCATTTCACGTAACTGCGGTATTTTTTTGCAAATTAGCTTCAGGTAGTACTCAAGTTTCGCAAATTCATTTAATTCTCTGCTATGCAACTTCTCTTTCGGAATAAATATTTATTGACTACCAATTAACGTACCCACAGAAATTCCTAAACCATTCTCAATGTATTTGTCAAAAAACCTCGTCTGATATATTTGGGACCGTCACGTATAATTTCCGTTTGACTGAAACCTTCATGAATTTACAGGAAGAAGTGGAGGAGGCGCGTCGCAAACAGCAGGAGTTGTTGCTAGCGTCATCCACGCCCCAGCACCACCACCTCCAGGAGACGGATGCCGACGAGACCAACGACGTGGCGGCCAATGGCGACGTGTCGCGCGACCTCAACACTAGCGACGACCCCATCGTCGACCCTATTGAAGATCGCCGCACCATTGCCGAGAAGAACGAGAGGCTCCAGAACCAGCTTAAGGTGCGTGCTTCATAGAGGCTCCAGAACCAGCTTAAGATGCGTGCTGCATAGAGGCTCCAGAACCAGCTTAAGGTGCGTGCTTCATAGAGGCTCCAGAACCAGCTTAGGGTGCGTGCTTCATAGAGGCTCCAGAACCAGTTTCTCGTGCGCTGTGTGGTTCATGTAGTAGTTTATCACGAAAAGTTAAACTTCGTGTTTATCACATTTCCTTCTATTTCAGACCTACAAAATAAGTGAATTTTTTTTACGACACTTGATTTTTATTATGTGGTTTGAGTGATCCCACCAAACCTTTAGTTTTACAATTTGTTTATCAAATGTGCGGTATTGCAGGCGCTGAAGCATGACCTGGAGAGCACGCGTGACGTGGAGAAGGAGACCAGCATGGACAAGCTGCACAAGGAGAACGTGCGTCAGGGGCGTGACAAGTACAAGACCCTCAGGGAGATCAGGAAGGGCAACACCAAGAGAAGAGTTGACCAGTTCGAGAATTTGTAAACTACATTATTTTTCACCGCGATTTCTGTAGCCAACCAGTTCGAGAATTTGTAAACTACATTATTTTTCAAAGTATTCACCGCGATTTCTGTAGCCAAACTTCTTTTGTCACTTATATTTTACTAGATAAACTTGAACAATACGGGAAAACAATCATATATTTCTATGGAGTTGAATTTTTTTCTGAGTTTCCTTTTGAGTCGATGGATGCTTGCTTGTATTATTTCAATTTATATGAATGGGAAATTAGCTTCCATCCTTCATTGCAGCGCGCGAAGATTACTACTTTCTTCCCAGAAACTGAAAATATTTTCGTATGTTGTAAAGTGAAAACGATCAACCAGTCACGAGACTTGCAATTAAAGTCGTGGCTCAAGCATTGATCATCATTGCGTTCTGCGACGTACTAGCTCATGTTGACGAGCCTGGAAGGAAACGTTTTGTGTTGGGTTATCACCCTCTTTGTTTCTAAAATCTTCTATTCCTTTACAATTATTTTTGTTTCATGGAACCTAATTTTCCGATTATACCGATGAATTTTTGTCTTCATTCTAACTATTCATTCCTAATCCTTAAAATTTGTAAGCAAACTTCATCCAAATTGATGTAATTTAAACGCTTCCCCAAATGTGATAGTTGAAGCTTAGCCTGCACAGTTGACGTGGAAGTAAATAAGAGGAAGCTTTAAACGCTGTCTACTTTTTGAACGCTTTTGTAACTGCCTTCAATTAGTGTTGTAATCAAACTCCTTTCTTCATCTGTGCTTCTCGTCGATTTTCTATTTCATAAATTTATTTCTCTTACGCTTATAGCGCAGACATAAATCTATATAGTGGAATGGCGGTATCCCAAATTTTCTTGTACGAAAATACTTATGAAGGCCCCTATTCCTCGAGACGAGTTTAAATTTGGGTATGTGCTTTGCTTCATCGTGAATATGTGAAAAACATGTGTAGTATAACAATTATCTATTGCTATGGTTTTCTAACTCGTTATTCATCTCAGGGTCTGAGGTGAATTATTCTTGATCGTTTAGAAGAACTTGGTTCTTCCTAGTGCCTTTCTATTTTCATTTGATGTGCTCGGTGATATTTTTTCACTTATTTCTTTGAAATTTGCTGGTAGATTAGCATTTAACTTCCCAGCCCACACTCGACTATGCAATGATTTTTCTCGTAATAAATCACTGATCTCCATTGGCTTTTAGTTATATTTGTACATGGGTTAGTAAACTTGCCTGCGTGAAATTTAACTGGTATCGCTATCTTATCCAGTCCATGAAAGAGTAATCATAATACCAATTTACAGGACACTCCATTTCGACCTGATATTGTGTAATTGTATTCATGTTTCTTGGGCCAAGGCGAGAAATTATTCATTTATCGCCGTTAATTTGGATAGAATCTAATTACTTCATGACGATGTGGTACGTCAGCCACTTTATCACTACGGCTTCTACGACGTGTACAGTTAAGCAAGAAAAATGTTAATAACTGTTTTTACTGTTGATTATTGATGCTGCCGTCTCTGTTTTGGACCAATTTATCATTATTTGTTTATGAAGTGTCTTATCGGATAGGATTTTGATATAGTAAAGGTATCATTGAAGTTGAAATTGCCATGTTTTTCTGTAGAAAAGGCCACTGTTATCTACTAAGTAGCAATGATTCCTCTGTCGTGAGCGTGCTATCATTAGAAAAATTCAGATTTTAAAAGTAGAGAAACTAATAAAATAATTTATCCCCTTTTTTATATTATTCGAACGTTTTTGTAGAATTATATCCGCCTGTGAACATTCTGCTGTCCTCGATAATGTATAAAATTGTCATTTAGCTTATATAAAAATGAATGCGGTGAAGCTGTTCACGTTCTACTGCATTATTGAAGACGTAATTTTGTATGCATTCGCTACTTGGTGAAGTCAATTAAAGTGTTTTAATAAACTTTGTTCATTTGAATCATCGTCACTAATAAAGTGAATTCCGATGATTTTCTAATAATCCGTGCGGAATTACTGCCGTATTTTTGTGCGATTTATATATGAAAGTTATCTTATCGAGCAATTAAGCGGACTGATGAAATGCATGTTTTGCTATTATTTTTCAGCTTGAAAAAGTTGAAAACATTTGAATTTTGTAAATATATTGCAAACATTTTTCCCGAATTTATCATCTGTTGGTGCTTGGCGTTCCGGTTCTATATGAAAACTCGAATTTAAATTTGCTCTTTTCACACTTCTGTACCGCTTTGAGCCCTGCTTAATAATATAAAATAGGTGGTTTCTTTGCAGATACTTCATTTAATTTCATAAAAATTGCTCGTTTCATTTTGGCGTAAATATGATTTTCATTTCTCCTTGAAAATGTAAGTTTAAGCTTGTGCATTAATTTGACTTGGGCAAGACTATTGCGGTTGTATCCTTGTACTTATTAACCTCGCCCTCTCCATGTCGTGCACCTGTTCTCAGAGCAAATTCATACGACCTTTTTCTGCCTATATTTAAATTGAACCTTTTTGTAACGACTTCTGATTCTTCGAAACATGTTAGCATTTTTGCATAAAGTTATTTATATTGATAGCCTTATTATGAAATTTATATTCTTTTCACACTTGGCATACTTCAGCATGTTAAAGTTTGGTTGGTTACGTAAGCAGACGGAATCCCCAGCCGGGTTACCTTGAATATTGATTAATATTTCATAGAGAACAAGCGCCTATGATACGAACGAGAACCAGCTTACAGTGCCTTCTACATATAATTAGTGTACGTTTGATTAGCCTTGTGTGGAGTGGTGCTGCCGGTCAGAAATTTGGGGAATGTAATGTTCACTTTGATAGAAAACAAATTACTCATCAGTGTGTTATTGTTTCTGAAATTGTCTGTTTCTTTAATAAATGGGGTGTTATTGTTTCTGAATTTAACAGTTTCTTTGATAAATGGTGTGTTATTATTTCTGAAATCGACTGTTTCTTTGATAAATGGAATAATTTTCAAGTAAATTTTGGTCTGGAGTAAAAGAAAATTTGAATTTATTATTTTAATGAACGTTATCCGAGCAACACCGTTCTACACGATGCTGGTCAAGTAGGTAATTGAATGCTGCGCGAGTAGGAAATGTGTACGTGTGGACAAGAAAAAATGCGACGATTTTTCTATCTATAAAAAACTGTTGTGACTTGAAGTTTTTGCATGCAGATAGGCTGCCTGAAAGGAAAGCGTTTAATGAAAAATTCTGCGATAAATCTTTCCGTGTCATACAAACACATGCTTTGATACTTTCTTACAGCAGTAGATACTCGTCAAAATGATTCATGTACGTTTGATGAATTTTTGTACACGAGTCAATCAGCCTCTTATTAGACGGTGTGATGCTATCAAGTTCTCCTGTAAATAGCAGCATTTAATAGCCTTCTCTTGGTGCCTACTATGTAAGTAAAATAGACCACTTGATAATGGCTCATTGGGTTCATTGACATGTTAATTTCTATTTGTACTATACTATAATAATAATAGTCTAAGAGTTTCGTGTAGCACATCGTTGATATCGCAAGTCTTGAATATGGAGAGAAACTTGGACGAGCTAAACGAAAATTGTATCACTGAGCGTTTTGTGAAATTTTGTTGGTGCCGCCAGGCCCCATACTGTCGTTTTGGAATAAACTTTTGCGCTTTTCGGACTAATCAATTGACTTTATTCCTTTCTTATCGTTTCGAATTTGTGTCGACTGTGCTTCATGGACGTACCAATCTGATACTGTGTCGGCAAGTTGAAGAAGATGAATAAGAGAACATTCTTCTGTTTGGAAATTTAATTTGTAACGATATCTTCAATTATATTCTATCGGAAGAACTCGGATTTAAGAATAAAATAATAGTCATGGATGCGATACTGAACGAAACCTCGAGTCGATCACTTAACTTTATGAAGTAATACTATCGTCCATTCTTCATCAAGCCAGGCAGGCCTTTCTCTGAAGAATTTCATAAGCTTCACGAAGCTCAAGTGAGTGGCTGTCACTCTCGCTCGGCATCGCACTTGACCTTATCAATGATGACGGCAATTACATTAACTGCCCCCTTGATTCTATTCATATTCTAGCAATGGAGACATGAATCGGGAAAAATCAGCAAACTTGAACAAATAAAAAATTGATAAAGGCACTGAATTATTCAAGAATTTTGATACAGAAAAACTTCATGTGAGAATCCAGAAATAGAACACTATTTTAAATCGACCCAGATTCAACACACATTACGTTCATAAATGATACATTTATTTTATCATAGGACGAGTAATTCATTTTTAGTAAGTTCTGGAAAACGGTTAGCTGCCGTGTATAACCTCACGGAGGTCTTTCGTAAAGAAAATTAATCTGGAATAAAGCCACATGAATAGCAAATGCTCACGGTAAACAAATCGAAAAATAACAATCCAAATCATTCCTAATAGAGCTTCTGCATATATGAGAAAATTATTGATTTCTATTTCCCAGGAGACGTTCAAGTGTTCGAAGTTTAGCAAACACTAATAATAAGACTGAGCGACGGTAGTTTCCAGACGTACGAACTGCAGCGCACAATACTCTCCTTGTACAGTAAACTTCATAGATTAAATAAATTCATTACCATATTATCGCTGTATTTTGCTTTACGGTCAGCGCAAGGCGACCCTGCCCTCTGATGGGATCAATTTCAACGCACCATCCACCCATGGTATAAACTTTCGCTAATTAGTCTAAAAAAAATGTTAGCACTTGGGATCAATTTTGACGAACCATCCACCCATGGTATAAACTTTCGCTAATTATACTAAAAAAATGTTATTATTTCTATTTCCTGCAGCAGTGAACGTTCATTTCTGTTCCCACGCATATTTTACCATGTTTTAATCGCATTCAACAAACTTCCTCTCTGATCTAAAAAATCTCTTGATAATGTAGATTGTCCAGCAGACATATTCCCTCACGCACCACACGAACTATACACAACAACAAGCAATATTTCAGGAATAACAACAACGCTAGAAGCGCCTAGTGCAAATACAGGAAAATATTTTAAAAAATTGAGTCGAGGAGCCAGGCTACTTAGCGGGCATCCCGCACACGTCGGTGCACTCAGCGGCCCGTGACGGGGCGGGGGCGGCCACGGGGGGCACGACAGCTGCTTCTGATATACCCAGAGCCTGGGGATAGAAATATAATTAATTAATGAATGAGAATTAATTCATATTGCAATTAAACTTATTTGTTAATCAACCGAGAAACTCATAATTTATTCAATAATGAACGGATTAATATAAGAAACATTTATATTGCAAATGAATAAAAAATATAACTCAGTACTCACTGCAGTGAGTGACAGAGAGCGCATTTTCTCGTCGACGAACTTGAGGTCACGGACGGACGGACAGACGGACGGACAGACAGACGAACATGGCGAGCACAATCGTGCATTTTTTCCATAAATGAGAAAATGCGCTAAAAACTTTAATATTACATATGACTAAAAATTTTAGTATTGCATATGAATAAAAAACCTCAATATTGCATCTGAATAAAAAAACTGAAAAAAGGCGCAAGCTGCGAATACATAACATAACATAACATATTGATCTCGGCGCTGAAGTGTAGGCCTGATGTGGCCTGTCGCCGATTCTTTTCCTTTTCGTGCCTTGTTCACAGAAGATCTAATATTGTTTCATTTGACCAGATCTTTTCAGGACTGACGATAGTTTGAAGTAGCTACTAGACTTCCACCGGATTCGATATGGTGCTAGGCATTTCAAATCTGAACATATATTTTTCCATAGCTTTATCTAGTCTGTTCTTGAACGCGTTCATACTTGGAGCGCCAACGATGTCATCGGGGAGGCTTTTCCACATGTCGGTGATTCGAAGCGAGAAGAAATTTTGTCGCGTGGAGAAGTTGCAGCGCAGATTTTTTAGTTTATAGCTGTGGCCCCTGGTGTTGGTTCTTGTTTCAAATTCTAGTAATCCTTCGGTTTGGGGACCTTGTACAAACCATGAGTATACTTGTATACTTCAATGAGGTCCCCACGCAGACGTCGATAACTGAGGCTTGGAAGCTTCATAATCTTCAATCTTTCTTCATAGGACTTGCCCTTCAAGCCTAAGGGTATGCACACAGTGAAAGCAGGTTGCCAGCGTGCTGGTTACCTGCTCAGGCTGGCACCTGAAACCATAGAATACAGAAGCCTATTCGTACAGGTTTTCACTGTGAACACTTACATTATTATCCTATGTTCATTCTTGTGGCAGGTTGGAGCAGGTTGCCCGCGCGGGCAAACCCGCTTTCACTGTGTGCGTACCCTAAGCCTGGAATTATCCTTGTTGCACGTCTTTGAACACTCTTGACTAAATTTTTGTCCTTTTCAAGTTTCGGTGACCACACAACGTTTCCAAACTCTAGATTCGGGCACACGACAGCAACAAACAACTGCTTCATCGGCATCCTCATATCATCTCAGACGGCATGAATAGTAACAATAATATGAGGATAGCGGAAGGACTTTAGTAGCCTTTCATATCCCTGGAACAGCCTCCCTGATAGCATCGTTGACGCTCCGAGTATGAACGCCTTCAAGAACAGACTAGACGAAGCTATACAGGAGCATATGTTCAGTCTTAAAATGCCTAGCAAATTACGGACCAGGCAATAAGTCCAGCAGCTATCTCAATCAATCGTCAGCTATAGAAAGATCAGGTTCCAAAGGCTGGATCCCTTGTGAATCAAGTCACGAAAAGTTCAAGAATCGGCAACAGGCCATGGGCCTATTTCTTCAGTGCCGACACTTATTAGCGCATTTTCTCGTTTATGGAAAAAAATGCACTATTGTGCTCGCCATGTCCGTCTGTCTGTCTGTCCGTCTGTCCGTGACCTCAAGTTTTCGTCGACGAGAAAATGCGCTCTCTGTCACTCACTGCAGTGAGTACTGAGTTATATTTTATTCTATATGATCAGACCTGCAGGATGTCGCTGTTAGGTGCGTGGTCAGCGGGGTTCTCCTGGCGGTACTCGTAGAGAACTTTAGACCCTCCCGCTGGAACCACAATCAGACCGCCGTTCTGGAAGCCGTCTCCTTTCAAGTCGTTCTTGATGCCGGCCGCTTTGCCCTGCACAATATCACGAATATTTTGATTTTCAACAACAAAATGCACTTCTGATTGGTTAAACGACTTTTTCGTGTGAATTAAATTACGACATCATCATCCAATTGCATGACAAATAATAACTTCTCGAAAGTAATGGAAACAAATTATCAGAAATACCCATCAACGATGAGGAAATATCCAATCTTGAAATGTATGAATTTATGTCATTTGTCCTTGTTATTTATATCATGAAGAATGGTTAAGCGAACATTCAAAGTTTTACTAATACAACAATACTCTTCACTGCTCCTATATTCTTACATTCATTTTCCAGTTACATCAAAAATCAACATGCTGGATGCACAATACTATACAGTACTATAAAACGATTCATTTGAACGCTATACTGCCGATAATTTTACAGAGATAATACAGGTTTCATGTTTGAAAGCAAAAGTAACCAATCATCACATTAAAGCATCCCACCTTGGATATGGCGTCGCGGGCAACTTTCGCCAGCAAGGCGGGACCCAAACTAAAGATGTTCATTTTACGGAAGCCAAGAGCTTTGTAGCAACGCTGGTCGATGTCCACTACCACTTCTGGTCATGAGAGAAAACATCATGATTGACTGGTGTCCAATAACCCTCAGTCTAGGGATTCATTTATCGTCGTCAAGGTTACGTGTAATTAATGGCTTGGTGAGAAGATATGTCGTCAGTAGACGAAGCGTTTTATTCAACCCAAAATTAGCAGTGTATGGGAACAATCCTATGCAGTGATGAGAGAAACCATTAATTAACATAGACTCATGTCCAATAACCCTTTATCTAGAGATGCATTTATCGTCGTCAAGGTTAAGTGTATCTAATGGCTTGGTGAGAAGAAATGTCGTCAGTAGACGAAGAGTTTTATTGACATATTTTTCTTATTTTCAAAGAGCAGTGCATGGGAATAATCCTATTCATTATACTGCTCCCTTTCAGTGCGTATAAATATAACCCAGAAAAATTCTCCCGCCCCCAATCTCACCGTCATCTTTTCCATCACCCCAGAACACGTGGTTTATATTCCCTTGAAATTCAACCACGTTGCCCTCGCAAAGTCCTAATTTAGCCCTCAAAGCTGTCAATCAATGGGATTGACGCCATCGTGAGGTCGTCGAAAAATTACAATGGCTACACTCGAAAATCTCTGAAAAACGACATGTTTTAATTGAGACATTTTTAACAACGAATTATTTCGGCAAAATGGAACAAGTTTGACGAATGATATGTTCGGTTACGAAAGATAATTTTGATTTTAAGCCATATAGTCTGGGAATTTAAGAAAATATTTTCAAGGTTTTTCCCCATATCATTTGAAGAATTGCTCTCAACACTGCGAAATTATATGCACACCTTACTTAACTTTTTCTCACTCTATCTTTCAAATCTATCATTCTATCATTTAAAATGACATCGCATAAAATTAACCTCTTGTCCTGTCGACTACAGATAAAATTAACGTTTTCCTTTTACCTCATTCATCTTTTAAATCTATAATTTAAAATGACATCGCATATAATTAACGTCTTGTCTGTTAACTCTAAATGCAATTAATGACAGACCTCCAGCAAAGTAGTTGCCAGCCAGGAAGTCGTCCAGCCCAACGTCTTCCAGCCCCACTGCCAGCAGCCGAACGTTAGCAGCCTGCAGCGTTGGCTGCAGCTGCGACAGTTCCTTGGCTGCCAGCCTGCAGAACAGTCATCCGAAGCGCCGTAGGAAGATGATCACTACGCTGCTGTCCTGCCAGTAACTGCTCAGTCGCACCTCCTGCCACACATTATATCACTTACATTCTTTTTCGTATTCATCTTAATTTGCCATGTATTATATCGTTCTCATTCTTTTTCATATTCATCTTAATTTGCCATGCATTATATCACTTTCATTCTAATTTATATTCGTTATAATTTATGTATTAATATTCTGTAGTTAATATTTATATTTACACAATAAAATCTCGAGAAGAAATCCAGACAACAAATGGTCCTTCACACGCGGCACTGTATATACAAAGAGAAAATTTCAAACAATTGGGATTTCCGTGTTCGATTGGAAACATGAAACAAATTATAAATGCAACTGCTTTGTCATTTATCTATAGAATTTAGGAATGAATTTCAGTGGAAAATTATAATAAAAAGATGATATATTGTATCGAGCGCATGGTGATCAAAGCTCATTAACTCAATGCGTATTTCCTCACATTATTTCCATAATTAATTATCGAACGAGTAAGAATATCTAAATAAGCGCATTATTAGTACAGGATAAAAATCATTAAGAAATATCTCCTACATTCCTATTAAATTTATCTAAGATTTACCAAAGAAACGTTCATGAATCATTAATGTATGGCAATGTTTTCAGATCTCACACCAACACCTAAATTGCACTTAAATCAATTTAAAAAAATGTAATATCAATTAAATGTTTATCTTTTAAAAAACACGATAAGTGCTTTCTCAAGCTTAAGCGTCTTATCAGTCTTGCTATCTATGTTTATCCGACTGTCCAGGCATGACAAATAACAAGATAATTGACATGCCGATTAAGAATGAAATCCCTACAATGTTCGTCACCGTAGCACAAGGCTTCATTGCAAATCACAAATCAATTACCCATAACCACAAACAGAAATGAAAGAAATTTTCGTCGATTTATATACACCTATAATAGGCTAAATTGCTAGCCATTCTATAGACTTGCTTGCTACCGTTCGAGCCAATGTGAGATAAGTTCTTTTCATTAATTGTTCTTCATTCAAGTGAACGCGTGAAGCCGTTATATTACATGGGAGAAGTAAGCAAATTAGATCAATTATTTTTAATTGCACTCATTCCACGAGTTATTATTTTTTTGCACCGTTGAGAAGAATCGGTTTATTAGCGATGACTTGGGTTAAACAGGGTTAAGTTGTAGTTGGGTGCATTGGTTAATTTAGTCGGCATTCGCTAAATGTTTTCTTTTTGTACACTTTTTTTTCATCTAGATGCTTTCATCGTCAATTAAAGTACGACGCTCAAAATTGAATGACCCGAAGTAAAACGTACAAGACTGGAGAATAAGAGTCGTTCACCAAGTACAAATGAAAGTATTGCTCATTGTTCATATTCTCGAATTATAATTTGTAATAACGTATATTCCTAAATACTCAAATATTTGGCGATGAACAAGTAGCATAGTTTCGGCATCTGCATAGTAGGAGACGCGATGTGATATCTATTGCGCTATCTATTTAATAGGCTACCTTATCTATTTCTTATCATTGGCGATTAGCGAAATGCGGAATCCTGGACGCACGTTTTCTTTTTACACGCATTATTGAAGTTCCTTCACAACGATTAGGAATTTGATACTATCTAGTGCGAACTAGTAGGGTTATTTTATTCAAGAACTTTTACTGAAGTCGGGTATTTTTTAGGACAGCTCACACAGTATTTGTATGAACTCTGGTATTGAAGCTCGTTTGTCCTGAACATCCAAGGTTAAGGTTCTTATTTGCATCTCGTACGTTCAATAAAACTTTTTTTTCTGTTTTGCATGCATAAACAGTTTATGTTATCGTATTTTTTAGTGTAGACATGTCATTAGATCAAGGTTGTGTCAAGATAGCGCTTGCGTGGATTATTTGGTAAAATAAAGTTAAACAGCTTGATGAGGAAGGTGAAACTTCTTGAAGGTTTAAAATTAGACCAAATTTATACGATCTATAACTATAAGTTATAGTTATAGACCCTATAGTCCTGCTATATATATACATCGTTCATTCCAAGTGGATTTAAAAACCTTTAAGTTTACGCCATATTGAGGCACTTTCAACGTGCTATAGTGATAGCAATTTAATTTGCAGGTACAAAAATTATCAATACATAGCTGATGCGCTGCCAAACCTTTGTTCGGCTTCCACTGCTGATATAGTAAATACAATTATTCTCCAGTAAGATTAAGATTTAAATAGACATTAAGATATACTAAATACAATTTTACTCCATTACGATTAAGTTTTAAATATACATTAAGATATACTAAGTATAATTATACTCCAGTAAGATTAAAATTTAAATATACATTAAGATGTACTAAATATAATTATACTCCAGTAAGGTTAAAATTTAAATATACATTAAGATATACTAAATATAATTATACTCCAGTAAGATTAAAATTTAAATATACATCAAGATATACTAAATACAATTATACTCCAGTAAGATTAAGTTTTAGATATACATTAAGATATACTAAATACAATTATACTCCAGTAAGATTGAGATATAAATACATCACAATGAACCTCATATGTCTGTTCACATAATGTTCTCGATCTGGAGGAGGGGGAGGCAGCCAGAATAGGTGCATGCATGCTTCATTGTAATAAAGACGAATTATAATTATTGGTGGAATAAGAGTTTTTACAAGACGCGTGGCCATAGGCAGACTGTAATAAAGCATCTGTGCGGCATATATAGTTTTGTTCAGAAAATGGTTACCTAAGCTCTTTTTATCGGTGGGCGAAGCCTTACATAAAAATTAAAATAAATGTGATAGGTATAAAAAAATACAACAAAATTGTGTTTAATAGCTCTAGTGAAAACTATGCTACTTAAAACGTTTGTTGCGCGTGTTTGGCTGTCATGATCGTTACTGTCATCCGAGATGATTCGGCGTTGCTACGATGAATGAATTCTATAATTATGTTGTTTATTCGAGCATTTAATTTTCCGTTTATTTATATTTTGTAGCAGCTAAAAGTTTGAACAATCCATAATTCAAACCCGTCGAGTGCTTGCAAACGGTTTTACATCAACTGGTAGTGTTCTGGCAATATGTATTTTAGAGACCGAAACTTCAGATGTCCAGGAAATTACCGACAAGAAACGCACAGTCACGCTCGCCGTATTCGAGTGAAAGCTTCCAGCAACTCTTGAAAGTGTGGGGACTTCCAATCTGAGATCAATAGTTCGAATAAATATAACGTTTCCCGCGCGTTACCATAAAGGTCTTTTAGTGTCGTATTGACAAATATTGACGAAATGACTTGGGCTCCACGAGAAGTGCGGTAGCGAAAGCTGTAATGCCGTCGTACGTGAATACATCATACAAACTCATATGGGCAAACACTTTAATCAACGGTGAAAAAACACCTAAAGGAATTTTAGAGCCTTTCAGAATGTATATTGAAGCATATAATTAATTTAGTACTTGTAAATAAAACATTCATCAATAGTTATCTTAAATAAAAATAGGTACTAAAATAGATAATGAAAAGGAAGCGCAAAAAAGTTCACGATAACATCACGGCTCATTTCATGACTTCAGTAGCAAGTTATTTTCAACGAACACCTCAACCCTGGCAAATATCATCAATAATTCACACGAGAAAAATATCATCATTCGAAGCAGATTTTGTCTTCAAGTGCCCGCTTGCACAAGAAGCTGCAAGCATTCCTGTACTGGAAGCAAGTTCAAATGTCAGCGTGGCATTTGCTGGAAAGCTGAGTCACTTAAATCTATCGATGTTTGGCGGCCTAACAGCCCTGCATTCCACTTCTATCGCCCGTTAAACTCCCAATGGCTGTGAGAACAGCATTACCACAAGTGGTTCGCTACACGTGCGTTGTACAAAATTCCTTCTCTTAAGAAAAGACAGAAAAAGTGGCACCCAAAGCTCCCAAAGGAGACAGAAAAAAAGAACAAATAAAAACGGGGTGAAACGAAGCACGTATGGGGATTTACCGGGTGATTTCCACTCCAAAAACGTGCAGGCAATTCTATCTCCTGACTCCTGAGACCTTAACGTCGGCTGGAAAAATCAATAGACGGCAAATCCGCGTTGAATAATTATATATATAGACTTAAAGAGACGCTCAAGTTGCATGTTAATCGAAGATCAAATGAAGTCGAGACATGTAGGATTCCGAAATACTTGCCGAGGAAGACTGGTAAATTACAGAATCGTTCTTAAAGTAAAAACTTAAAAGCAAAGAAAACTCCACAAAAATTCATACTATCTTTAAAGAAAACGTTGCGGAGTCCAGCTCCATCGTCAGTTTGAAAATTCACGAACAGTGATAAATAAATCAGTAATTAGTGCATTCAAGATAACAACCTAAAACCTAAGCGTTCTTTAAGTCTGTCGAAATACATTTACGACACTTAAAGCGTTATTGGAAGCAATGCATACTTTATAATTAGATAACTTAATGCTACGCGAAGAACCGTATGTTATCTGAAGTCATCCAGAAAAGTATTTTATTCTTTCGGTTCCTTTGAGTATACAACACAATTGAGCAATTAAAATAGTACGTCGCCTCTCAAATTTTATCTATTGTATTTGCTACTATTCAGTTAGCAACAAATGTGCGATTTCTTCAATATCATTATCAAGAAAGGATCAATTGCTTCATATGGCAATCATTTGATTGTCTGTGGCTAAATTCTCCGCAATTTCATCACAAGCATTTAGCCGCGGCACAACAAACATCCGCCGTCGAAAGGAAACAGCCTAACACCAGACGTGTGGGAAATTTAAACACAGTCCTGAATGAGATAAGCGTCAACTTTTCACCGGCAAGTGATCATGATTTGCAACTTAATCTGATCTACGTCCACCTGGTCTGAGTTTCAAGCTTCGATACCAACGCGTTGCCGTTTAAGAACAGACAAAATAAAGCTATGGAGAAATATATGTCGACTAGAAGCGCCTTGAACAATATCGAACCCGGTGGAAGTCTAGTAGCTATTTCAAACTATCGTCAGTTTGGAAAAGATCCGGTCAAATGACACGATTTTAGATCTTCTGTGGACAAGTCACGATAAGTACAGGAATCGGCGACAGGCCACATCAGGCCTACTGTTCAGCGCCGACATCACTATGTGTTGATGATATGACTCCGTCCATCATAAATAATCTTATTATCGTACCATTCATACCATCACACCTTACGACGCTCGAAAATTAAAATAAGAGCATCGGAAAACAAGAAATGGGTCACCAAACGCCTGAATGCACGCTGTTTCACTTTTCTTAACCATGTGTAAGAAAGCATGCCTCCTTAAGTAGTAATATAATAAACTGATATTATTGCAGTGCGATGAGTAGTAGAAGGAAGTACACGTAATCTAATTTAATATTTACTATATTATACAATCTAACATACATAATAGTTCAATCATAATAACGGTAAATTCAATAGTTGTGATTTGTTGCTTCACATGCAAAACTGTAAAATTTAAAAGTTTTAGAATTGAAGAAAATTTCGTCAAATGACACCTTAAAAGTCACTTCTCATTTGTACGTCTGGCCGTGGCCGTGATAACCTTCTATCTCTTCTCTACAACTCTTTGGGGTACAAGCAAATAAAGTTGTTCCTTTCACCAAATTAACATATTCCTACCTACGTTGCAGCATTGAACTTGCTGCTACTATCGCAGGATGAGAACAGGTGGAAGATTCCCAAGGTTATCCACAGGCGCATACAATCACAAGATTATGAGTGATTAGGGCAAAGAACAAAGCGTACGGTATACGTTGTACACGAGGACATTTCAAGAAACAAATTTACTCTGCCTGAATTGCACCTGAAGAAAAATGGTTGAGACAGTCAGGACCAGAGAAAGAAAGCATGATTATCATTGTGAAGATTTATATAACCAAGACATCACTTGAAGTTATAAGTGGTCCACTGGTCCTTACTAAGGTCTCCATCAGCCCGCTTCTCGACTAAGGTCCTCCCGTGTATGATTGCGATAGTAATCATGCAACGCCTCCATTGTCTATCGTCATGCGTGAGCTGTGCTGAATTACTGGTCCTATCAAGGCTATCATAGTAGGCTAATTGAATACCTACCAAGTTACCAACAGCCATTCCTTATTTGCTTGCAGGCACATTAATACTAGTTCTGGTAGTTGTGCTAAACTTTCAAACGACAATCCTAGTATTTTCATTGTTTACAGTGAATTATCGCTAATGAAAGCAACTTCAACAACTTCACTGATAAATTAGTCTCCATTCTTCAGGTTCCCCTCCTAAAGGAACCAATAACGTATAACGTATACAATGGATTGAATAAGAAGTTTCTAATACTTAGGTAGGATATCAAAAAGCTTAGTCATTTATGTGCAAATGAATTTTTGAAACGCATTACAATGTTTTTAAAAATGATAGGCTACGTGTCGCATCAGGTACACTGCTGACTTGGAGCCATGTATACTGCTACTCGATTACGCTAGACACATCCCTAGAATACTTAAATGACTCGAATGTAATTTTGCGTTTGATGAAATCATGAAAGTAACTGAACAGAGCCACTGCGGATCAATCGTCAGTACTCAGTAGGCCTACAATAAATATAGGTCCAAAATTGAGCTTCTACTGTTTATTAGTAAAAATGAAATAAATAACAGTTAAATCTTTATCTAAAATAAAGTTGAATTTAATAGTTTTTACCTCTTTTGTGTCCGACTTCTTTACTATATTGTCAGCGATCTTCTCAAGAGTTCGCATGGTGTCGGCACAGCAGCGATCGTCACAACCTCCACACTCGGAAGGTAACAGAGCACTGCCAGAAATGTAGTGATCTGCTAACTCGTGACGTTTGTCTAGCGGGCGTTGCCAGATGAACGTGGGCATTAGCGACATAGCACACAACGTTTATACTATAGCAACCATCAAGATCGGCACAAATTGCTGTTGAATTCAATTATTGATTTTATAGTAATCAATTGCTTTATTGTTAGAAATAACGATTTTCATAAACGACATTTTTTCCATTTTCGCTAAGATTATTTCACGGAGTGAGTAACAAATAAATCCATTCAGCACGGAACGATTGATTTCGGATGGCATAGATTTTACATGTAGTTTTTGATGCCATTTCCAAAAACCAATTAAGAAAATTTATAGAAAACATAAATCAATATAAGATTTTTTTACTTTGTACGAAGGCAGTGCGATTTAAATAATCGGGTGTTTTTCACTTTGAACTTTATATATGCAACGAAAGTAAATCACTAATTTACGATGCAACATCTCAATTCCAATTAAATAAGGCCTATATAAACTCAAATGATGGAATAAAATACAATTAATTAATTCTCTATTTGTATATTTAATATTACATCGATTCTAATAATGTTTTTATCATCATTTTCAGGAAACTGGTCCAATGAGAGGACAAAATGTAACAGAGAGCTTAGTTAAAAGCGCTTAAATTTTGTCCTTTGCGTCTGTTCTTCAGGTGAGCCTGGAACAAGAAGATAAGCGTGATTAAACAAAAACATAAAGATGTTTCGGCTGTAGTAATAACAGCAATGGATTACAAACAACCCTATTGAAAATTCATTCAAGAGGATAATTTTCATTAGTGCACCCGACAAAATAATTAAACTCTCGATTTATGGCTAAATTCAAACCGCCTTTACAAAGTTATTTACCAAAGGATACTTGTATCGTGTCGATTCGTTCAGACCGAAACTTTCTATTAGAACAAGTAATCGGTTTAAAGGAGAGTCATGCAGTGTCAGCTTTGAATTAGTGTGCGGAGCTTTGACCGGACGAGCTTCACTTGTACACGCCACAACGAAGAAGCCAGCGCGACGTTTCTGGGTGAAACTAGATCGCGTGAACGGGAGTCATACTATGACTCCCGTTCCCGAATATACATTTTCCCTTAGAAAATTATTTCGTGGAAAATTACTCAAAGAATGTCATTTGAAACAAAGGCGATTTGTTATGAAAATATCAGAATATTTGGATGCACGGCAAATTCGGCAATGGCTGTCAACGTGACAGCGCCTAAGAAGCGCAGTGTTTTATGTGAGCGTTAATGTTCCTAATACAAGGCAAACGCAAACCGATTCAAGCTTGATAGCGAAACTCGCTTTGTGGAGTCTAATTAAAGTTGAGTTATTCTGAGTTGATCTGAGTTTGACTCGACTTGACCAGAAGGAGACTAGATTCATTCAGAGTGAAATAGAACTACTGGAGCTAACCGTGACGGCGGGTATAGTAGAGTTACCTCGAGTTAAGTAGGGTTTGATTCGCCTAGGCCCTAGACCATGAGAATGCTAGATTATCTAAATAGTTAATTAGATGTAGGGCTCTCTTTGATGGCGGGAATATAAGAGTTAATTCAATTAGAGATATGGCTCACCTTCAGGATGGTAGAGAACTCTTGTCGACCCAGGAGGTCGTATGCGACGGTCATGAGATGCTTAGCAGAGCTATGCAGGTGCGGACACCCGAACAGGAAGAGGTCCATTCCGAGCTCGAGCCCCATGCCTGTAGCAACCAACGCATAGTGTTATCAAGACGAGACTTTGAGCATAATCAACACAAAAACAATGCATTGGAAAACATGTCTAAGACGCCTGCATCAACTTGTAACTTTGTTTTTCAGCTTGCAAAAACTTAGCAAATCACAAAACGATGCTATTCACGAGTTATAATAGTTGAAACATAATTGCTATGAAGCTTGTTCTCTTGAGTGCAATTATGATTTACTGGCAAAAAAAATGTACATAAAGTCATAGTTTTGAATTAGGTTCATTGATTCATGAACTCCAAATCAGCGCAAGAACACATGCTTCTACTAGAGCGAGTTTCGTCATAAGCAAACTGAAGCGTAAAGCTTTGTATTCATAGAAATGAATCATAAATAAGAGTATTATACAAATAGAAATAAGAAAGTAATTTGGCATTCCTTTCCGGCAGTACCGAAGTCTCCTTCATCAGTCGCCCACTGAGAGTTGGTGATCACTTCTTGCACGGTTGCAAAAGCTGCACTGCGAGCTGCTGGGTTTTTGGCATCGCTCACTCTCTGGAGCATCTTGCGTAAGTTTGCTGCAATTATCAAATTACTAAATAACTTATTTGGATCAATTAAATATTTTAATTGTCTACAACTGATCATAACTGCAACTAATGGGATATGTTATCCAGCATCAAATCAACTGGTTCCAATTGGCGAAGTGAATTGTAAGTAGAAGAATATCAAAAGCTCAGAAAATATATCTGGGCTTTTTCTCTGCTTTCAAAAAACTAAAAAAGCAGCTTTGTTAGCTCTGCTGGAGTTACGAGTTTCAGTGGCTCTGGATTGGCTGTTCATCCAATATTTACCAAGTTGTTTTTCTGCAGCAAATGAAGAAATACAGGTTTGATCGTATTTGGTAGTAAACATTGCCCTCGTTCGAGACATAATTTTTTGGTTGGTACTCTAATTAAATCTTATTGCATGTAATATTTCGATCACAATTTTCCCAATATTTTTTGCTTCTTGCACCTAATTATTTCAGCAACTTTCATCTTTTTCCATTTAGAGCTTGGTTTTTAAACTGATTTTTTCCAGCAGCTAATCTTCCATAACCGAGACTGCTATTTTATGGCACAGGGTAAGTCAATAAATACAAGCGATGCGTTAGCACCAAACATCATGGAACCTCACCATCAGTTTCGGGTATCTCCCGGTAGCCAACATCAGTTTCCTTATCATAAGGCACGACGATACCAGCGCCATGGAAGCTCCGACACACAACTTTCTTCTTCCGCTGTCTCACTGCATCTGTTCTGTTAATTGGGATATAGGTTATTAATGTGTACGGACCAATTCAGATCATTCCTGAAACATAAAAAGACCAGCATGACTAATTACTGATGTTCCTCGATTAGTTATTCAATAGAAATTAAGGCGATTGTTCAACAGACTTTTAGAGGGTAGTAAAGAGTAAGCTCATTTTTCAGTAGACAGTTTTGAGCCATTAGAGCAATGATATTAATTACACTCCAATACTTTCGTTTCCAAGTCACAATAAATAATAGACTGACTAAACTACAAATGTTACAAACTGACTACAAATGGTATGAGGGTAAAACCCTCATGCAAGTACAAAATTAATTTCAATAAATGTTTGCAGCTGCAATTCAAAATTGAAGCTTACGAAATAAACCCATTCATTGCACTTACTTGCTGTCCAGCTTGAAGCCATGGGTCTTGGCGGCGTCTTCCAGCTGAGATATGAGCTTCGAGAACGCCGGCTTCTTGAATGTGTCCACTTTCTTCTCTGCTTCCTTGCAGTAAACTCTGAAAACATCCTGGTATTACAGAAAAAATAAAATTGTTTCCTTTACAGCATCTCATTACATGTACCTACTGCGAAAAATAGGCATAGTCTAAAAATGCAAAGATTATAATCCGAATTATTTCGATATGTGCCTCAAAATTATTTGCCAATGATTTCGAAGTATAGAAAAATCCCATAAAATGTAGAAAAAATATTTAGGCACGAAATTTCATATTAAGAAGTAGGTGGATTTTTTTAGCCATCATGAAACTAACTAAATTTGCAGATATAAATGGGACGAAAGACGGATGCATTGAGTATTATTTATTGTTGTAGCGAAACAAAAACTGTGCAGGACAAAATCCTAACGGAAGCAAACATACGAATTTAGCCTTATAAAAATAGCTGTCATATGATTCTTAGGGATAAGAAAGAACAGAATAAGCATACACAAGGCAGGTACTTCCAGACAATCAAGATGTATTGCAGGTTATATGACATACTCTAACAAAATTTAGAGTCGCCCCAGCTTCTGGTAATCCAAATCAGAAGCTGACGCGCCTGTAAAGTTTCACTGGGATATATTGCAATCCTTAACAAAATTTAGAGTCGCCCCAGCTTCTGGTAATCCAAATCAGAAGCTGACGCGTCTGTAAATTTTCACTGGGTAACAAAATTTAGAGTCGCTCCAGCTTCTGGTAATCCAAATCGGAAGCGGACATGTCCGTAAATTTTCACTGGGTACCTGAGAGCATCGAAGACGTTGTCACCGAGAGGGGAGACGAGACCAGGCTTGACGTCGCTCATACTCGCCACAAACACCGGTGCTTCTGACGGACAGTCTCGGAAATACCCGATGTGGTAGCCATCATTACCGCACGTAAGGATTGTCTGGTAATAAAAGAAATGTTTGTTACTTTGCAGTTTATTTTCGGCAAACTTATATCAACCTGCACAATATTCAAGATTTTGTGTTAGTGTTTTAAGCTGTTACTTATTCATAGGCACATCAATTCGTCAAGGTACCTATTGTAATTAAAATAGATATTTCATAAATGTGACAATTATGAAACATTAATTAACTGCAACAATATTTAGGGGCTTAGCGATGGAACTAGCCAGCAATGGTGAGGAAAAATGGTTGGAATGCGAATCGAGATATGTTTCTGCAACCACAGGTTTCATGCTGTATGGGACTGAAATGCTTTATACAGGGTGACGCGCGGTAATTTGCTGATTTGGGAATGAAATAAAAAAATTATGATCACTAGAAAAATTTATTTGATATTGAATTATACTGAACGATAATGGAATTTATAAATTACATGGTTTTAAATAGTGTATCTGACAAAAGTCGACATTCGCATTCGCCACACTCTGCTGCATACGTTTTCTGAAGTTTTCATGAACTCTAACAAGCATGCCCACTGGTATTCAGCCAATTTCAGCTTCAATATTGTTCCTTATGTCTTACAAGGTGTTGGGGTAGTTGATATACACCTTAGACTTCAGGTAACCCCAAAGAAAAAAATCGCATGGGGCTAAATCTGGTGAGCGTGCTGGCCAGGTCACATCACCTCTCAAAGAGATAAGCCGTCCTGGAAACATTTGCCTCAAACAATTCATGGTAACCCTCGCTGTGGCCTGTGTGTGAGGTGGCACCATCCTGTTGGAACCATGTTTCCTCTAATTCCATTGCCTCATGAGCTGGCTGAAAATAGTCCTGCTTCATAGACAAATAGACAAATGCCAAGAGCAAATGATTGCTTCCAAGCAGAGCGTTTCGGAGATTGCAGTACTGCTGCTCTAACTCTCTCGATGCTTCGTGGTATTGTAATCCTTCTCTCAGGTCCCCTTCGTAGACATGACACATTCCCTGCTGTTCTGAATTCATTCACCCAATTTACAATTGATTGCCGTCCAGGAACACGTCCGCGTGAAGGAACAGCGAATCGTGAACGAAAAGCACGCTGCACTGCAATGATCAAGTGGGCATTTGAAAAATACGCTTCTACACAAAATGACCTCTTCTAACGTGTCCACTGCATGATGGCAACTGAGAGCCAGATGAATACAAATTTCTCGCCATCCACTGTAAGCCACGTCCTCTCTCCTCTGTCTTCGACCGTCAGTGCCGCCACAGCATGCAGTGCAAATAAGCAAATTACCGCGCTCCACCCTGTACCTTCTAAGGATATATTCAGCAAAAACACAACAGCATCAACACCGAATTTTAGCTATATCTCTGCAAAATGAAATTTTCACCAACCAGTACTCTTTTACAGATAACTCACTTCGAGTTCATCTTTGCATTTTAGTCAGTATACTTTGAAGTAACTTACAATACTCCATTTCATCAAAAGCACAATCGCGAACTCAACTGATGTACTTGCAAGATTCTTAGCATTTCTAATACCGCGATCATTTCATTGAAAGTGGAACAATCAAAATGAATACCGCGCTATTCTGCGTAATGCCTTGCATGTGATCAGGTTAGAACCGTCCACTTTTCATGGGCGGTTGGTCAGTCAAGAACGAATCCAGGAAGCAATTTATGTCACATTGAATCACAAGTCAACGTTTATCTGAGTCAAGTTGTTATAAAGTTTTCAGAGGCATAAAGTTGTACTATGGTTGCCCTGAACGTGTAAAAGTACAAAATTCACTTCAATAAATGTTTTCAGCTTTTTGTGGAGCTTTTCCTCGAGCCATCGGGGTAACCGCTTTTTTTCAATGAATAAAAAAAATACCGTAGTTGCAATTCACAAAACCAAATGCCCATACAAAACGATTTATCTTGACTGTAATGGTCGCTCCTCCCCCAGGTGAAAAAGCAGTTAATAGTTATGAGGTATCTTTTAGGTGCAAGTATCTTCAGCTGTTTGTACCGAGACTATTTATTTTAATTTTACCTAAAATATAATTAATTTTTTATACTTTTTAATCCAGTTAAAGATAACAATGTGATTGATGGTAAGGCAGTTGACAGAAAGATATTTTTACAATAATTTATCGAATAAAAATAATATACAATAGTCAATTGAAACTTGATAGCTCTGAGACATGTACAGACCAGCAAGCTATAAAATGGGACACATCACATAAATCCTTGCAATAAGTGTGATACGTAGATTTGATAGGCAGGTACCTGCATTTCAGGAGGGTCATGGTAGAACCTCCAGTGACAGAGATACCGGGAGAGACAACGAGGCTTCAAGTCTTTACCAGCAACCACATCATATGCCCCAACCAGCCGAATGCCACACGACAGCAGAGCATCTGCAACAATAGCCAATATAAAGGTGCACTGTCTTTCAGCAACAAATATTCAGCCTTATAAAAAGTAGTTATCTCATAGAAAATGTTGCTTAAAGAAAATTTATCACTTAGACATAACAAACTCAAGGATTATTCATGATGGAAATAACTTATAAGTGACTTCATTTTTGAAAATGTTTGTCTGTTTGAAGTCGGGTAAAGAGTTGTTATTTGCTTACAGAGCAACAATACCTATTTTGCAGGGATATTTACTGGATTTGAAATCAGATTTTAGATGTGGGATCCTAAGGCATGGCAAATAATTGTTGGATTTAAAAATGAACATTTTTATTCATATTTTAAACAGAATTAAAGATGTTTGAACTAGTCGACTTCGATTACAATAATAAATAAATACGAGAATCCTTATACATGATATAACACAAAATTTAATAAAAGAATTCTCAAAGGATGATTGAGAACCAGCAACACTGACTTCAACTGCTGGCATCTTCATAAAATATTAAAGGAATACCAATGCTAAGACACAGCTAACATTCAACCAAGAAATAAATAAAGGTTCATTCACTTTCCTCAAAAGAAAAAATTATTCCTGCATGTTGAAAGATGCTAAACTAAATATTTAAGTATGAAAACTATTGAGAATAATTATTATATTTAAATTAATAACAAAGCATCTATTTTTATACTTAAAATAATTACCGTAAGCTATCCACTTTGTAGTGGCAACAAGATTTACTACTGATGAGAAATCCGTAATAAGTCCCTTTTATTCAGCTAAATTGGAATGCTATAATTATAAACACACACTTGAAGGATTTTCCTTATTTAGCTCTTCACAGAAGTCCCAGAATTTGAAGAAATCTTCAGGCATCTCCACAAGAAACTTTTGCTTGATATTTTCTTGCAGATCAGAAGGGCTGGCTGGTAACTCCTGTTCATCTTCATCAGTGAAAGTGCAGTTCTCAGCTGCTATTGAGGAGTCTGCAGCCAGTGATGAGGTCTCTGAAAATTAATAAATTTATTGGATTAAGAATCTGGTAACTTACAGCATCAGATATAGAAAAGAGAGCAATTTTAAGATCCCAAATAATTATTTCTCAAGTTGTACCATCAACCGGGGCTACTCAGGACAGGCGGGGTAACTCGGGACAGTCCTCCGACACATCATAAAACTGTTTTAGACTTTTAGTAGCAAAACTAATTGGAATATTGCAAAACTAAATATAGTGGCGTAAACGTCAACATTTTCCTATCTATGTAGTATAAAGGAAGTTCAAAAATACTACATATACTAGCTTTGAAAAATTCCTGAAAAAAATGGTGAAAAACAATATTTTGAAAAGTTACTTATGCAAGGACTACTAGTAGTAGTCCTTGTACTTATGCTAAAGTCTGTAGTAAAAAAAATAGTTGCTGTATTAAAAAATTTTGCTTAGAAAAAAGTGGCAGACAAGTGTCAGCATGAAAACTTTATTTGCGGAATTTACATACCTCAGTCCCAAAAAAAAAAAATGGCGGCCATTTCCGCATGGCGGGGCTACTCGGGACACCCCCCTGGGGCTATTCAGGACACCCCCAAAAATGCATTTACAGTAGAACCTCAGTTAGCAAAGGCTCCAGTTAAGAAAAAAATTGATTAAAAACAAAGAATATTGATTACATTTACCTCGCTCAGCAAAAAATTTCACTTATAGAAAAATTAGTGCATCATCGGTCATCACAAAATTGTGCATAGAATGTCATATATAGAATTGTGCACCAGGCATCATAGAATGAAAAGTAATTGACCTAAACTATGATTTATTTCACCAAAACATATGATAGTTGTCAATAAAACATTCCTTTCTGTTTCAGGTATGTTTTTCACGATCTTTTTTATAGTAAATTCACTTAACCCAATTAAAATGGTGTGAAATTACAAGCCGTCCTGTAAGCTTACAGATACAAAAAAAATGTAACCGTGACAGAGAGCACATTTTCTTGTCAAGGAAAACTTGAGGTCACAGACAGACGGATGGACAGACAGACAGACGGACGGACGGACAGACATGGCAAGCACAATAGTGCATTTTTCCCATAAATGAGAAAATGTGCTAAAAATGCTATAAGGCTGCTGATATGAAGCTTGCAGTGGACAAGGTAGTTGAAATGCTCAATGGGGCCTGTTCATGGATACGGTAATACCACATCAATAATATGGTAATTAATGTATATGGTAATATCATATCAATAAAGGAAAAACAAGTAAAGATCACAGAAAATGTCATTTATTCCACCTCTACATCATCTACAATGAATGAGGAGGACTTCAGAGTACTGTTAGTAGGTAATGGATGAGGACACTCTGCATACTTTAAATGTTTTAAAATTAAGTTTTATTCCAAGTGTCCCGAGTAGCCTCGTTTGACGGGGCTACTCGGGACACTCGTTTTAGCGCATTTTCTCATTTATGGAAAAAATGCACTATTGTGCTCGCCATGTCCGTCTGTCTGTCTGTCTGTCCGTGACCTCAAGTTTTTGTCAACGAGAAAATGCGCTCTCTGTCACTCACTGCTGTGAGTACTGAAGTATACTTTTTTTTTGGTTCTGGCACCTTACGAGGTAACATATGGAAGTTTTATGGAGAAGCCATGTGATAGCCCTTGCAAAGAGCTCTGAAATGAGCCTAAACTTGTTTATGAAATGTTTCATGGTAAGAAGTTATGAATGAAAAATGTTCGAAATTGTCCTGAGTAGCCCCGGTTGACGGTATGTTGTAAGTAAAACTATGAGTAAAATCTTTCATGGCAAGCATGAAAATATGCAGAAATTTTAATTTCTGGAACAACTATAAGAAAGTAGTTGTTTCAACATAAATATGTTTATTGATAAGTATTTTTTGAAATTTTCACATTTAGGAAGTAATTTGAGGTTGGATAATTTATTAAATAATTTAAATACAATCATTACTTTGAAAAAATTGAATATTATTCAAATATAAACATTTAAATGTAAAGAATAGCTATTTAACATCAAATTAATTAAAATTTAACAGTTAAGGTTCAAGGTTGCAGCTAATGCTACTTCTGTCTTTTTAAAAAGTATAAAAAGAGCAACAATTCCATTGTGCAAGTTAAAACAAAAATTTCTCATTTAAATGCTCACAGTTTAATTTTTGGGCCCACTTGACTAGGGCCTAGGGGGTCCCAGCATGATGCTATGTATGGAACATTGGTCATATATATAATTAGCAATTGGCTGAGCTGAGGTATGATAACCAATAATGTCATGGTTGTTGTCTCCAACAAAAACTGAGGCTGTGTTGAAGCTTTTGGGGAGATTCAATCTCTTTTTTGTTTTAATCTACTTACTTACTAGCTAAAGGGTTAAGCAAATTGTACTGAAAGTCTGAAGCCTCAGCCCTCATGTGTGCAACCCTAATAGGTACATGAGAAAATTTTTCATATTTAAACAGTAAATGCCAGGCTCCTAATAATTTCAATGAATGAAATGTAATTAATTTGCTAAAGAAGTATTTTTTATTTATCCATTGCTTCCAATTTTATGGTATTAGCTAGTTCATTAATACTTGTTAACTTTTAGCATTAGCAGCAGACACACGAGCATTTAGTAGCAGCAGCCTAGCACTAGCAGGTGTGGCTGAGCCTCCACTCAGTCCACTGAGGTGCCTGCCAGCCTGCCAGGCACTCAGAAATGTCAGCATTCAGCAAGGTAGATGAGCTGACACTTGCACTCCCTCTCAGTCTCAGGCCTCTGTGAACCCCTCGATACCTCATCAACAAGCACAAGACATTGACACAAGATTGCTGCTAGAAGCAAGATAAATTACCTTGTATGACGACGTATCTATCTAATTTTTGACAGAAGATTAGAAGAACATGACCAGACTACAAGCCTTACAAGGTTCCACTCATCCAAGGCACCCTAAATCAATTGGTCAATTTTCATTTTTCAGTTTATGATTTTCTAAAAATTTTAATAAAAACAAGTTTTTTCCTGATATTATAGTCAGGATTCAAAAAGAAAATTGCTACCAAAACCTAAACAACAAAACAAATAATTTTTTTACTTCAATTTCAATTGTATCAATATTTTAATTGTGTGAACTGCGGAGAGTCCAACAGCAAAGGCCAAAGCCATGACATGACCACATCATCACATGAACATCCACAGGCAAAAGGAAAAGGGTAGGTAGGCCTACCAGCCTACCAGGTTACCTATACACCTACATTTAAATGATGACAATATGACATTGACAGTTGACACCAAATTTCCAAATGGGGTCATACCCAACCTTCAAGTTTTGCTTGTTTTAGGGGAGGTGAAGAAGTATCAGCCGGCAGAGATGAACTTGCATGTGCATCCACAGATGGAAGTGAATCCTGCAAAGTGCAAAGTAATAAAGAAATTAAACATGAGTTTAAAACCATTCAGAACTTTTTTCATAGTAGCTAGTTCTGAATTTTCATGGATCAATTTAGGTAACAAATTACTTCAACACATTAGCTTAATTAAAATAAAATGCGCAATAAAATTATCATTTTACCTCATCGGCTGAAAAAGCTTCACAAGCATTTCGTTTTCGTACATCTTTTTCAGATTGAAAATTTTTTTTAGGGTGGTGGTACTTTTGTAGGTGATTAGGATTTTTCTGATAACATTTCTCTCCATACCTACAAAGAGGCTTCATATCTGCTTTCTGTTTAGTAAATTTCAGAGTAGTTTGCTTTGTCGCAGCCATTCAAAAAAAGCAAGTTAAGCATTAGTTTGGGTGATTTAAATAATCGATAACTTTACTTTTCTTCGCGCCACATCATAACCGGAATGATGATTGTGATCCTTAGAATTTTCAGTATTGCGGATTTATAATTACTTACATCTGAAGCTAATTATAATTTGTAGGAAAAAACACATTTAAATGTTTGCAGCAGCAAAAATGGACTGAAAGAAATCATCAATTTGAAAAATGGACTAAAAGAGGTCATCGAGCTTAAGTTATGGCTTATCAAACATTCCTAGAGCGAGCTGAACAGATTAATTTAATTATTCATGCAATTGCGTATTTAATGTATAACGTGAGTGTAAAATCCTAGTGACAACGATATCATATAGGTTATAATGATTAATAATGTTGAGATAAACTTGTAGTATTTTTTATTTGACCTTGACAGTACTGTTGTTCGTTTGTCCTATGACGAACCCCATCACACACTCGTCCGTGCTGGCTTCACATCGGCAGTCAGCACTTGAGAAGCCAGTGCCTGCCGAGCAGCCGAATTGATCGTGCATTTTAATTTTTGTTCATTTTAACATTTTCAGTTAAACACATTCCTAAGTAATACTATGCACTGTTGCTTTATTTCTTTTCTTCGTACTTAGGCTAGCTTGTCTTCTGATAATTATTGCACTCATAAATGCGACATATTTTGTACATCACATAGTGTTCATGTATATATCAGGTTTTCAGATTTCATACAGGTTGTGAGGAATTTATCCCTAACCATGTCGGGCTCAAACCAAAGCATAGACACAAACTGCATGAGCCTTACTAGATGGGTTTTGGCAGAACAACGAAAATACCCGTCCGCTAGTGGAGATTTAACTCAGCTGTTAGTTAGCATTCAAACTGCTGTGAAAGCAATTTCTTCTGCCGTGAGAAAAGCTGGCATTGCTCATCTGTAAGTATTAAAAAATGGTAGTAGATTTAATGATAAAAGGATTAAGAGCTTATTTTTTTTCAGAGTAATAAGTGCCATATTAAGTTATTGATGCCAAGTTATTGATGACATTCACGTAATTTATATTTGGTGTAATTAGGTATTTATTTCGATTGTAGGTAACTTATGCACAACACAGAGAAATTACAATTAAATGAAGTAAATATTATCATTAGAATTCTCTGTGACAATCAGACAATGTATATTCAAAATTAATGCTTATAATGCGGAGTGTGTCTCCTGAGATTCTCGATTTTATGTATGATTGTAGTATGGTTGTGTATGTAGGTAGTAGTTCTTAGCATTAATTCAACCATGGTTCTTAGTATGGTTGTATTACGCAGCACAGACCTGGCGTGATGAGCAAAAATGCATGATATTTTAATTTATGCAAATTAATAATATAATATTTATTGGAAGGTTGTCTAAATTACCTTATTTCTGAATGTGCACGGAGGCTGTCTTGCTACACGTGTAAATTTTGTACGGGGAAAAACTGCCCAGTAGCAGTGTGCCGCACCCCCCGGTTTGACCAATCAGTGACCTTGGGTTCCGTTGCTGACTCCCAACTCAGCCAATCCGCATGGAAGCCTGAGCTTACGTGCCAAGTTTACGTGATAGTGTGCCAAATCCGTTACTCTTGATGTTATTCTGTTGAACACGTACATGACATTCAGAGCACGGATCATGTGGCATTGAGTACCAGATATTAGTAAGAATATGTTCGAACTTGAGGCAATAAAATAGTATGGTGCACCCTTGCAGCGCCTGAAGGCCTTTTGCTTCTGTATACAAACACGTTTTAAAACGGTATTAGCAAAATTTAACGTTTAGCTAGACCATTGATTAAACAACGCTGGCTTTGATGATACAGGCTTTGAACGACTCTTATGTTTTTAATTTGCATCGGAGAATGTAGCAAGTCCCTATAGAAATCTGTGAAATTATTTACTTTTTAAAACAATTTTTTTATTTAAACAGATTCAAATTTGCGTAATGACGTAAAAAAGTAAACGTAGCGGCGTAGAAGCGTAAGCATAACGCAACAACGGAGTAAAGAAAATCGTTACAGATTTTGAGAACCAGCGAAAAGACTATGAACGGCCAAGTGAAGTTACAGTACCATAAATACTTGATACGCGAAGGCAATGACGTCCGTTGTTTCAGGAACGGCATGGCGGGGGACGTGAACGTAACGGCTTTTTAAAGTAAGGGCCATTACGCCCGTTGTTGCATTCCATTACGCCCGTTGTGTACGTGAACGTAACGGGTGATGTGAACGTAACGGCTTTCTAGAGTAAAGGCCATTACGCCCGTTGTTGCAGGTACGGCATGGCGGGGGACGTGAACGTGCAGGGCGAAGAGGTGAAGAAGCTTGACGTGCTAGCTAACGACCTCTTCATCAACATGCTGAAGGCTTCCTTTTCTACGTGCCTACTCGTGTCTGAGGAGAACGAGACTGTCATCGAGGTAATATCGTTCATACTCGTACATCACTAACACCCATGAGTGTAAGTTTTCGTTACACATCACTACTGAGTTACACATTACTATTATTTCGTTACACATTACACATTTCGTTACACATGAGTGTAAGTTTTCGTTACAGATTACTATTACTATATGCGTTGCACATTGCTATTGATTATTTATTGACATAGACTATTATAGACTCTGCACGACATTAATGGCATTGAATTACGTTTTGATGCTGATTCAAAGTAAATGCAATCAAATGACAAGGTGATGCATACACATTCCAGAATAAATTTACACTTAATTCATGCACTTTAAATGCACTCAACCTCTCTTTTTTTTGTTGAGCCCACCTCCTAAGGCTCTTTGTGTACCAACCCACACTCTAGAGTTGTCTTGCCAATGGAGCCAGAAAAAAATCTAATTTAGTTTCTGCCGATGCCTCAATTCATTTCCTAATAGTATTTAGCAACATGCTTGAGGATTTTGTTTTTCAATCGAATAAAGTTTAAGTGTCGCTCAATGCTCATAGTCTGCAAGTTATCCTGGATTTCGGGTCCGTTATCATCGCGCCTGTCTTCGTACTGTCATGATTCACGCACGTAGCTTTGCTGTTTCTCCGACTCGAATATGGCGATGCAAGAAAAACTCGAAACTAGATGTCATGAAGGCAATTGCTCAAACGGATCGCGCTTTTTGTCATCATGTAGAAACTACGATCTAGAAACGCCATCGGGGCATATGGTACTTCTTTACCCATTCCATTTGGAACGATTAGCAATTTTTACGAAAAATAAAAGCGGACATCAGCCGACTCGATTAAATTCCTAATATATTCCGATTTGATGAGAAAATACTGAATAAAGGCTCTGATCAAATATCCACTCGTATACTGATTCACCGGCCATTCTGAAAATTTTCTCTTCAAACCTCATCCCAAACCCATACACTTCTCATTACACACTCATTCTCCCATTCCATTCGTTCATAAATAAGGACGAATGAGCACCAAACTACTTCTTCCGTTTTAAATTAACACGATCAATAATCAATGCCGATAAATACTACGTATCGAATAAAGAATAATCACTCCTTAGTATTAGGCACTAATTAAGTAATCATGCATTATGTGTGAAGGTCGAGGTGGAGCGCCAGGGCAAGTACGTGGTGTGCTTCGACCCTCTGGACGGCTCCTCTAACATCGACTGTCTCGTGTCCATCGGCTCCATCTTCGGTATCTACAGGTGAGGCGAAATCACGCATGGTTAAACTAGTATAAGGTTGACCCATCAGAAGCCCATTTTTGCGGATGTAGTTTGTTGCTCGCCTGTGACGTCACTGATCTCAGTGACGTCACGGGCATTAACCAATCACGGAAATACGATCAAACCAGTCAACCAATCCGTCATGGGAAGGACGGGATTGTTTACGTTTCTCGATCTCAGCGACGCAACAAGAAAGCTGAACTGAAAGACGGAACTTCTCGTGGGTCAACCTTATATAGTTCAACCATGAAGTGACGTATCTCAGTTGATTTTTAACGGAATTGATAATATTATGCACGGTATTCGTTTATGAACAAAGCATATCAATAAAGAAACGACTCACTTTATTTTTTGGACCATATATGTGAATAAATTACTGTTGTTATAATTTAATTGTTGTTAGTATTGTTATATTGTTGTTATAATTGTTATAAAATTAAGAATTTGCTACGCTCGATATGGTTCTAAGAGCGAAGCATACATGAAAATAAAGGAACGACTCATTTGCATATGATTTCTTGGACTAAATGAATAAATTATTATGTTTGATAGTATCTCAGAACGAAATAATTAAACGAATAGATGTCAATTTGATTGTTGTGACGAAATGATTAATAACCGTGTTCTGTTGAATTGTTTCAAAGAATTTCTCACCGCAAAACTGCTGTGTTGTGATGAAATGATTAATAACTGAGTTCTGTTGGATTGTTTCAAAGAATTTCTCATCGCAAAACTATTGTGTTGTAACGAAATGTTTAATAACCGATCGAGTTCTATTATATTGTTTCAAAGAATTTCTCAACGTAAAATTGCTATGTTGTGACGAAGTGATTAATAATCGAGATCTATTGGATTGTTTCAAAAAAATTTCTCACCCGGAAAATTGCTGTGTTGCGACGAAATGATTAATAACCGAGTTCTAAGGGATTGTTTCAAAGAATTTCTCACCGCAAAACTGCTGTGTTGTGATGAAATGATTAATAACTGAGTTCTGTTGGATTATTTCTAAGAATTTCGCACCGCAAAACTGCTGTGTTGTGACGAAGTGATTAATAACCGAGTTATCTTGGATTGTTTCAAAGAATTTCTCACCGCAAAACTGCTGCAGACGCTCCAGCGAAGGCACTCCGTCGGTGAGCGACGCGCTGCAGCCCGGCCGTAATCTGGTGGCCGCTGGCTACGCCCTCTACGGCTCCGCTACGATGATGGTTATATCCATCGGCAACGGCGTCAACGGCTTTATTATATTCACCGCCGTAGGCTTGTCGCCGATTCTTAACATCGCAGAACATTCACAGATTGTTGCGGGCTTGAACTCGCAACTCACTGCTACAATTCTGCTGTGCTTAACCGCTCGGCCTCCTCTTGAACTCCCAACTAACTGCTTCAAATTTTATTTGCTTAACCGCTCGGCCTCCTTGCCGATTCTGACCAGTAACTGGCGCACAGAGCTGGGATCGAACCCGCGCCTCTCTAGTGCGTCAATCTTGGTGCTCTGAACTTTAACCACTGGGCCACCCTGCCAAACATTTTAACGGGCCACCAAAGTTGACACCTATGTATATCCAGAAAATCCATATGACGTGTTATTAAAGTTGCCTGCTGAACTCGGTAGGATCCTTCTAACTGGTCTGAAAAGCTAAATTTTTGGCAGAAACGAAAAGCCAATCTTTCTTGGCTGAAGCATAACAAAAACTAAATACTAATCCTTCTTTAAAAAACGTGGCAAAACTAAAGTTACATACCTAATGCAACATAAACAAAAAAAAAAAAACACAGTTTTCTTGACAAAAGCATAACAAAAACGAAATAATAAACCTTCTTTAAAAAATTTGGCGATACTATAGTTACATTCCTGATATTACTATCGTAAAGCAGCACACTATTATTTTCCTAGAGCATCGGGGAGTTCGTACTGACTGATCCTAACATGAAGATCAAGGAGAAGGGCAAGATTTACAGCCTCAACGAGGGATATGCGAACCTCTGGGATGCTGCCGTCTCCGAGTACGTCTTGGAGCAGAAGGTAAACTGGCTTGGTGTGGTAAACTGGCTTGGTTGGTAAACTGGCTTGTTGTGGTAAACTGGCTTGTTGTGGTAAACTGGCTTGGAGTGGTAAACTGGCTTGTTGTGGTGAACTGGCTTGGTGTGGTAAACTGGCTTGTTGTGGTGAACTGGCTTGGTGTGTTAAACTGGCTGGACGTCATTATGAATAATATAGTATCAGAAAATGCAGGTTTACCTTGTGATGAATCATTATGGCGCCAATCATCGTAACAACAATCAATTATTCACAGCGCAATCTTTATTCTTGAACAGACAAATAATTAAAGGTAAGGCTGCCAATACTGGACTTTAAAATAAATGATTGTTGAGTGACAGAATGCCACTAAGGGCCGCTATATCAATAGAAATATAAGTAACAGTAAAGTTTATTGCAGAAAAAGAAGGCTGGTGGCCGCTACATTGGTTCTATGGTAGCAGACGTTCACCGCACCATCAAGTACGGTGGTATCTTCATGTACCCTGCCACGGCTGACGCGCCTAAGGGCAAGGTAACCTTACCTTACCTCCTTACTTAGTAACCTTACTTCGAAAAATTGAAAAAAATACTATTGTTCTCTTGCAATTTCAATTTTAATAATCGCAATCTTATTTGAGAAACAAAAAAACAATGTTATGATTTTTTTATAACTCCAAATTTAGTATTAATCCACCTTTTTAGGAACTTCGAAAGAATACTATGATTCTCTGACAATTTTAATTTTGATGCCAATATTATTTCAAAACATGATAACAATATCATGATTCTCTTTAAATTTTAATTTACTTCTATAAACCTAATTTCATAATATCGAATCCATATTGTGATTCTCTGAGAATTAAATAGTGAATTTACTTAAAAAACCGTATTTTCCAAGCTATTATTCCCATGGCCAAAGGTTAGCCATTTTGTACCCTGTTAGTTGGAGCAAATAATCCTGGTCTATCAAAGTTGGTCGTGTCATGTAGGTCGTGTCACCAACTCCAATAGGTAACGCATAAAAAATATTTTATTCTCGATTTAACATAGAACATAGATTTTCATTTCGATTCTTCCTCCCATAAGAACACCGGATTGCTGCATTTATTATCTCCTATCTTAATTCAAAGAGCCTTACGTCAATATTTCTCTTTAATTAAACCGCCTGCTTGAACATTGCGTTAATTTATAATCTTGAATATTCACATTCACAAAACAACCGCCGCTCGCTCCAACAGTTGAGGCTGCTGTATGAATGCAACCCCATGGCCTACATCGTTGAGAAGGCGGGTGGGGTTGCCACCACGGGGAAGACCCCAGTGCTGGATGTGGTCCCCACCGCCATCCACCAGCGCATCCCCATATTCCTGGGGTCCAAGCTGGACGTCCAGCAGATCATCGACCTTTATAAGAAACACGGTATCTAGGAACACGATGTCGTTAATGAGAAACACGGCATCTAATACGACTCTGTGGCATCGTTAATAAGAAACACGGCATCTAGAATACGACATTGTTGATAAGAAATACGGCATCTAGGATACGACATCGTTGATAAGAAATACGGCATATAGGATACGACATCATTGATAAAAAACACGGCATCTAGAATACGACATAGTTGATAAGAAACACAGCCTCTAGAATACGACATCGTTGATAAGAAACACGGCATCTAAGATACTGTTCTGAGGCATCGTCAATAAGAAACACGACATCTAGAATACGACTATGTGGCACCGTTAATTAGAAACACGGCATCTAGAATACGACTCTGTGGCATCGTTAATAAGAAACACGGCATCTGGGATACGACTTTGCGGCATCGTTAATAAGAAACACGGCATCTAGAAACACGTTAATAAGAAACACGGCTCTGTGGCATCGTTAATAAGAAACACGGCATCTAGGATACGACATAGTTGATAAGAAACACGGCATCTAGGATACGACATAGTTGATAAGAAACACGGGATCTAGAATACGTCTGACTCTGTGGCATCATGTGAACACTCGGCTAAATATGAAGAAAATATTATGAAGGGAATAAAAATAAAATTGTCTAGCAATCGACGTTACTTGTGTTCTTGTTTAATAGTTAAGCTGTTCGGTCCAGGTATTGCGATTATGTCATAAGATTGCTGGTCATGCCAACCTGTAATAGTTATACGTCTTTCTATATACATTCCCATTTGCAGCCTTGAATACCCTTTGTAGAAGTTTATTAGTAAAAAATATTCCTACAATATAACTCATGAAATGTGAACACAGTGCGATCGTGTTAATTTCGATCAAATGTGAATAGATGAATGCGTTGTTGATTTCACTGTTGTATCACGGATGAGATGTGGAATTAAAATATTGGTTTGGAGTTTTTTGATTAATTTTAGTGTCCTCACTGGAGTTATTGATTAATTTCATTGCCCTCACTGGAGTTATTGGTTAATTTTGCCCTCACTGGAGTTATTGGTTAATTTCATTGCTCTCACTGGAGTTATTGATTAATTTCATTGCTCTCACTGGAGTTATTGGTTAATTTCATTGCTCGCACTTGAGTTATTGGTTAATTTCATTGCTCTCACTTGAGTTATTGGTTAATTTCATTGCTCTCATTGCATGGAGTTACTGATTAAGAGGAGGTCTACCCTCAAAATCATCTCCTAAACTATATGACCTATCGTTCTGAAGCTTCGTATACTTATGTAAATCGACTAAATAAAAACATTTAAATGTTTTGCCCTTGTGAGTTTAAAAAATGAAAGAAAAATGTGAAATGCATAGAAAACGGAATGAAGGGGGGTCCTTTATAAATATGTCTCCTTCCATTTACGTGCTACAACATCGAGAGACATACCATTACTTTCGTAAAGAGAATATCTATCGACTCTGGATGCCCTTTTGTCGATACTTTTCTTAAATGTTTTATTCGACTTTTAATTAGCCATTGCCCCCCTCCCCCAAGTTTTTCCAATATATAATCCAAATCCTCTACAAATTGGAAAAAATGGGATTCTAGAGTCGTTATAAATTGTCTTAACGAATCGAATGGTATGTATGTATATATGTGTGTCCCTGCGAAATGAGATGAAAAACACACAACGTAATTTCTTCGATTTTGAGGGTGGACCCCTTAGTTAACTTTAGTTATTGTTCTAGAGTTTTTGATTAATTTTACTGCATTAATGGGTGTTATTTGGTAAATTTCAGCCTTGCGATTAGAGTTATTAGATTAATTTTAGTGCGTAGTGAAGGTTATTTGCACAATTTGCACAGTTGACTAATTTTGGCAATGCAACGAAAGTTATTCTGTACTTATTCAATAGGTAAAGTTACACGGAAACTTATTCTGTTCTGCCGTAATGGCAGTTAATCGGCTTATTTTAGTGTTGTAATGGGAGTTACAAGTGTAAATTTAGTGCCTTAAGGAGAGTTAATTATAGAATTTTATGGCCGTAACGGGAGTAAACGTATTAATTTTAATACAAATATAGCTTACTGCTTACTAAGCAAGACTGCAAGTTATTCATGCGCCTTAATGAGAGGTGCCATGAGAAATCTGTAAGAATTTTTACTTAACCCACGCTTTCGAATCACAGCAATTAAACTGAATTTGCATATAACCTTTTTGAAAACCACCTTGTCACCAACATTCTTTAAATCGAACATCTTAGATAATAGCCAGCCAAGTCACAGGGAGATTACAGATTTTCACAGAAGATAGATGAATATATAATAAGAGCAATTGTATAATAAATGTTCGTTATAAAATACACATTTTTAAAATGAACGCGCGGTTGCTATGTGGAGAGGACACGTGAAGTTCCGCCTATGATACTAGAACTATTGATACAGAAATTTGACGGAATCATTGATACAGATATAAGATAGAATCATTGATAAAGATATTATTGTATCTGATACAGATATTTGGTTGAATAATGCATTCCAATTTCAAGTAAAATTTGTCAAGATCTGTTCGCATAATTTGATTAGCAGAAAGATTGGAAGCTTTCTATTAATGGGAGCTAAATTCAGAACAATTTTCAGAATGGTTGAAGGTTTTTGTTATGTCCTACTTCTTTATAACCGCTTTCAAAATCTATGGTACAACTCTGAAGCTAAAGTTCATATGCGCGTCTGAAAAAGTTTACAAGAAGTCGATTCTATTAATGTCGTACGAATAACATTTTTCCATAAAATATCGAGGAAGCTTAGATTACTTAATTTCATGAAAATAGTATTTTAATAAACGTTATTCAGTCTCAAATTTTTTAATTAAATTCGCATTTCGTATGAATGTAGAGAGTGCAGCGTATATTTGCTGAACAAACATGGAGGATAACAAAGTGGATTGTAACGAGCGATTGATTTGTGGAGGGAAAGCCACCGTGGCATTCCAGCAGCCACACGCTGGAAAGGAACGCCACCGTGGCATTCCAGCAGCCACGCGCTGGAAAGTAACGCCACCGTGGCATTCCAGCAGCCACGCGCTGGAAAGTAACGCCACCGTGGCATTCCAGCAGCCACGCGCTGGAAAAGAACGCCACCGTGGCATTTCAGCAGCCACGCGCTGGAAAAGAACGCCACCGTGGCATTCCAGCAGCCACACGCTGGAAAAGAACGCCACCGTGGCATTCCAGCAGCCACGCGCTGGAAAGTAACGCCACCGTGGCATTCTGGCAGCCACATGCTGGAAAGGAACGCCACTGTGGCATTCCAGCAGCCACGCGCTGGAAAAGAACGCCACCGTGGCATTCCAGCAGCTACACGCTGGAAAGGAACGCCTGAACGCCACTGTGGCATTCCAGCAGCCACGCGCTGGAAAGGAACGCCACTGTGGCATTCCAGCAGCCACACGCTGGAAAGGAACGCCACTGTGGCATTCCAGCAGCCACGCGCTGGAAAGGAACGCCAATGTGGCATTCCAGCAGCACCGCGCTGGAAAAGAACGCCACCGTGGCATTCCAGCAGCCACGCGCTGGAAAGTAGCGCCACCGTGGCATTCTAGCAGCCACATGCTGGAAAGGAACGCCACCGTGGCATTCCAGCAGCCACATGCTGGAAAGTAAGGCCATCGTGGCATTCCAGCAGCCACATGCTTGAAAGGAACGCCACCGTGGCATTCTAGCAGCCACACACTGGAAGTGAACGCCACCGTGGCATTCCAGCAGCCACACACGCTGGAAAAGAACGTCACCGTGGCATTCCAGCAGCCACGCGCGGGCATTCAAAGAAATTAAAAACGTTCCAAACGGGAATTTTCGCTTGGAATCTGGAGCGCTGTGCCCTCAGATGGGAATTCGGCTGATCCCAATTGCCCCGAGCTTCTGGAACTGCAGTGAAAGGTCATCTGGATAATGAAACTGGAATCTGGAACGAAATAGGAATTAGGAATGAAACTGGAATCAGGAATGAAACTCGAATCAGGAATGAAACTGGAATCAGGAATGAAACTGGAATCAGGAATGAAACTGGAATCAGGAATTAAACTGGAATCAGGAATGAATCTGGCATCAGGAATGAACCTGGAACTATTAATTAAACTGGAATCAGGCATGAAACTGGAATCAGGCATGAAACTGGAATCAGGGGTGTCATGGAAAGTCGACATGTAACAGGAGTTCATTAATAAACTTGATTAAAATTCAATAGATTGAGAGAGCGTGATTTGATTAAAATGTTGCAAATGTAAAGTTAATTTTTCAAATAAAAGTATAAGGTAAAACTACTATTGACTTCTAAAACTACTGTTGACGAGCATAAATTCCAAACGATTTGACCGCCATAAACCAATTAGCAGGACAGGAAAATTGATCATGGGCACATTTTCACATTATAAAGCAAGGCAAGGCTTTTCAGTTTAAACACTTTTCCATACCTTAGCAAAATTTCAGATAAATAACGAAAATTTCCATGAATAAGGACCTGGTAATTTTTTAAAATTATCTTTCACAAAAAAAAAAAAAAACAATACAGATCTCAGGAATATGCTACATTTACAAAACAATTTATAATGTCAAAGTACAATGCATAGAAGCGGAATTACACTTAGATGAGTGAAAGTGGATCGATTTTCAGCACTTCGATATTAAAATAAGTATAATTATCTCCAGTAAAGTTATTTTCATTACCCTTTGGAATTAAAGTAAAGTAATTTACATTGATAAAGTAAATTAATAAATTTTAACTGTATTATAATTTGAATAGAAAGATGCATGAATACTAAAGACATCGCACCGGTCAGATTTACGTGGACAAAAACCGGTAATTAAATTACATGGCTGCTGTTTTATTCCCCGACTATATAGTGACGAATGTATTATGATATTTTAAAAAAGATTTCCTCTAACGATTTCAAGCCTGATTTTTTAGGCAATTCTTGCGCAATGGAGCTGAAAGAAACGCGATCTCGTCAGTTCAATTTCGTTGAACGAACGCGTTTTTATCAAAAAATTTTTTTATCAAAACATGTGAAAATTTTCAACACCAAACAAATTAAACTTAAATTTATTTGTACAATATGATCTTTAATTTTAATGAAAAATAAAGGAAATTTTACC